TCATAAGGCAAGTGGAGAATGTGTTTGGCTAAGATCGACAATCCATTATATCCGAGAGATATGCAATTTATCTACCAACAAAAGAAGTTTCAACAATATCATATGAGGATAATGTTGCTTGTATAATTCTATTAGAGGAAGAATACATCAAAATGACAATCCAACAGATTTATTCGCTAAAGCATTACCTATCAAAACTTTTGAGAAGATGATTTAGAAGATTGGAATGCGTCGTCTTAGAGATCTTAAATAATGTCTTCAACATGGGGAGACCAAAATGGGGATTAATGTGTGCAAGGAATATTGTACTCTTTTTCCTTCACTAAGATTTTTTTCTACTGGGTTTTTTCCTAGTAAGATTTTAACAAGGCATGTTTCTTGTATAATGGACATTCAAGGGAGAGTGTTATGAAATAATGAATGTCCATCATCATGTTCATCCACTTTTCATAACCCCACTACTCATTATTTTTAATATGATTCAGTTCATCATTCAATATGAGAAATTGAAAGGGTGATGCAATTGATTATTCATAGTCCCTTCCAATTCTCTCCTCAATTTTGAAGCCTATAAATAGGCTTAATTTGTTCATTAGTTTGTGTATAAGTTTTCTAGAGATAATAAGAGAAACTTTGAAGTTCTTATAATTTATATTCACATTATAATTATTTTTATTTTCTTATCATCTTTTTCTTCAATTCTTCTATTATTTCTATTTATTTTATAAACATCTTCAATATATATATATATATATATCTTTGTCGCATGCATGCATGGCCGAAAATTGAATATCCAGCATTCATGAGACTTGGTGACTTTTCTATCGTGAAAACAATAATTAAAGACTTGTCCGTTCAATAATCGAAGACTTTTCTATCATGAAAACAATAATTAAAGACTTTTCTCTTTCATGACCGCAATGATTGAAAATTTTAAAATCAAACCGCAAAGACCAAAATTGAAACAATATATAAAAAGACCTGCGCTATAGATGTAATAAATTAAGCAAACCATGATAAGGTAGAGTTGGTTTGGGTACAATAAACAAAGACTTTAGCATTTGCAGTACTATGACAGCTAAGACTACTAGAGGAAATAATATAATAAGAGGAAGGTGGTAATATGATATCAGATTAAGTGAAAAAACTGACTTGCAAGTTGCAATTCACTATGGTCACCATTTGGATCGTGTCATTGAGATCCTATTTGAAATAGATTCGCATGCTTCGGCCCATTTTGAGTATACCTTTGGGCCCAAACCCATGAAGAGGAGGAAGAACGGTTTCATAGAGGGCATGCTTTCAAAATTTAATCTTTTAGAGTCAAGGTAATTTAATTAACTTATTGAAATCCTGATTTTTTTTTTTTTTTTTTTTTTGAGCAAGTCTACAGGCTGGGAATGGGATTTACTCAAAATAAATAATTTCGGAAAATGATGAACACAACTCTGTCAACAATAGTCTGCAGCCAGTTTCCAAGCAAAGGAATAACAACTGCTGCAATATTTGATAAATGAATTAATAGAGATATAAAACTCTATTTTTATTAGAAAAAACTTGTGTTTTGGTTGTTGTGTACTCTGTCTTTGCCATTTGGTGGCAGAGTTTAGCAGCATAAAAATGATGCCTCATGCAGTAGTTGCAGTCATAATGTAGACTTAATTGAAGAAATTAAGAATAGAGTGCAAGGCTCAACATTGCTGTTTGTATTGCAATGAACTCCCTTAAATAGAGTTTTAGGGATAGAGTTACAATTACAGTAAAGGACTGAAAGCTAGAGTTATTGTTACAAAGACTAACTTATTTACAGAGAATAACTCATATCTAAACTCTAGATTAACTCATATCTAAACTCTGACCAGAAATATACACTTAAGGATGCTTATCCTTATCATCCTCTCTTAAGCTGAGCGTCGGTCACCTTGGCAACTTGATGGAAGAATTTACGTTTGGGTAGGAACTTGGTCATTACATAAGCTAATTGATCCTCAGTCATTACATCAGCTAATTGATCCTCAGCCAATTGATCCTCAGTCATTACATCAGCTAATTGATCCTCAGTAGATATAGCGCACAAGTAATTCACGTTTGCTAATTTTATCCCAAACAAAGTGGAAATCAATCTCCAAGTGCTTATTTGGGTACCATATGATAATAAAACAACATATAATTCTTAACACTTATTTGATTGGATGATTTTAAAATTTTGACACATTAAAATGAGAAAATTAAATTGATATATATATATATATATATATATATATATATAGTCAATAAAATTCAGACCCTAATACCATTTTTAAGAATAACCATAATACCATTTTAAGAAAAAAATACTCTTAATCTCTCAAGACATTTTAAAGTACTTTTTTGTTATGAAATCATAATTTTATTTGACTTTTCACATAATTTAAGAAATTTATTAATTGTAATGTTATATCAGTATTTTTTTACAATATCTTTCTAATATATCTTTTTTGTTTGTCTAAGAAGAAAATCTTTTTAATTTAATCATACATTATAAAATATGAGTATTTTAAGAAAATACAATATTAAAAATTTTGATCGGACAAAACGTTGTAATAAATTTTTTAAATTTATTTTTTTATTGAATCAATTCCCCTGTTTTAATCACGAATAATTAAGTTTAATAATTAAGTTTACCCTTTCTGTTAATTAAGTTCTGAAAAACTAGTAGGATTCATAAGAGTCAAATAACTTACTAAGCCTTCTCTTTATTTGAGAACAATGTCCTTAGGAAGTTTGAGCATCCAATCCATGGTTCCCTTGGATTTCTTCCAAGGAAGGAAGCTGCTAGTCGAAGGAAAAAGTGAAGTCTTTCCCCAAGGATGACCCTACCAAGGCTTGCAAGCTTACTGCCTATTGGGCTAAGCCTTCTTTATTATATTCAATACACATTGTTGCAATTCGCCATCCAACATGACTGTGGAAAATTAAAAATTTAAATATTTTTTTAAATTATTTATAGAGATGTGAGTTATTATTTATTTTAAAAGTCGTCACTTAGTATTGTAAAAACTAAAAATCTAAAATAGCACTAGTCTAAAGATTTTAACATAAGAAGTTGATTACGTTTTTTAAAAAATATCGATCATTCAAAAACATCTTTTCTTGTAAAAAGTACCACATTTAGCTTAGCCCTAGATTTTATCTCTTAAAAAATTTTATTAGTGTCAAATTATTTCAATTTAAACTCTAAGATTTTTATTTTTGTTTATGGCATCGTATTGAATCAATTGTCAAACATTTTCGTTAAAAGACATTTAATTCAAACATCGAATCCACTTTATGTCTCGACATAATTGGTATATTGGAGAACATCTTAATTTTTAAAATAATTTTTTTTTTTGTTAACAATAGTCCATATTAGATAGAAGACTTTCTAAAAAAAGATTTAATATTTTTTATTATTATATTGTTTTTAGTTTTTCATGTATTTTCTTCTTATTATTATTTTTTTCTACCTAAGGATTTCTTCCTATCCTTTTTTTTTCTTGTATTTTTCTTTGTTCTTTTTTTTTTTTCGCTTAAAGTTCTTCTTATTTTCCTTTTTTTTTCTTTATTAAATTTTCTATTGTTTTGGTGTTGTTATTTTTATTTATTTCCTATTGATTGTTGATGAAGAGTTGTCATCAGTTTATAAAAATTAGAAGACTCGATGATTCCTTCATCAAATTAATTTCCTAACCTAATAATTAGAATAAAATCTAAAATTAACATTAACTAAGTAAATTCCAAGATATCTATAAAAAAAATTAAATCTAAATTAATGTGGGAAATAAAAATGCATAAATAAATTAAAATATTCATATTCAATCTATCTAAAATAAATTAATGCATTAAAAAATTTAGTGGGCCGTAGGCCCATTGGGCTGGCCCTTATTCCCTTTTCCTTCCCCTTCTTTTCTTTTTTTTTCTTTTTTGGATCTGGGCTGGGCTGAAACTAGCCAAGCCTTTGTTCAGAGCCCAACCCAAGCTTTCAGTTTTGCTCTGGACTAGGCTCAAGTCCACAAACACAATCCATTAATATTTTCATTTCATTTTCGATCAAACAGCCTCTCACCTTCCTCATTCCTCTTCCCAGAAACTCTTCTCAACCTCAACTAAAATTCCTAAGTTGATTATCAATCAGATCGACCTATCACTGATGCCCTATTCCGATAGATTGGAGGGCAAGACTTGTTAAAGGCAGTGCTTTGCCACTGCCATCTTCCCTTGCTTGGACGGAAAACACAATCAAAGAGAAAGGAAAAGGAAAATTTTGATTACCTGAACAATCCTGGACAAAGTGGGAGGGATTGGGTGACATGTGTTGTTGTGAGAGCAACAATGGGTCACTAATGTTCTTGAGAACCCAGAAAACCAAGGAAAAGGAAACCCAGAAATTCCAACCTAGAAGTTCCTTCCAAATCATAATGGTAAACAGATTTAGATAAAAAATTTATCTTTTATTTCGAGTGACTTCAGTGCCAATGAAAAACAAACATTAAGTATCAGATAGAAGCATGAAGTGATAATAACTGAATGTTCATCAATTTATTAAATTTCCAAATTTGTTTAATGAAAACAACGATTGCCAGTTTAACTGTATATTTCCCCATGCTTCACTATCTCCAAGCCTTTCAAAGGGTGCAAAAGTTCCGTAAGATAATCCAGTTATTCTATAACTACTGGTAGGAAGACGACTTACTTCTATCTTTTGTAAGTTTATGCTATCAGGTGGTAACTTACTCATTTTTACTTACAATATTTCCAACCTGAATCATTATTGAAGAAACAAAGGGTTGCTTTAAAAGCTTTATTTATTTATAATAATTGGGAAAGCTGTTTCCCTATACAAGAGAAGAGTTTAGAACATCTTCATAGCCGTTGGCATTCTCAGAAGGGTTTTCTGTCTATTCCTTACAAATGAGTTCACTACTCTATTTATAGAGTTCTTTGGGAGATTCCCTACGTTTTCAATGTCTTATGGGATTACATCAGGTAAGCTTCATCTTCTTCTCTGCTTTACAGTACGATGATGTCGGAGGAGGAGGAGGAGTGGGTGCTTTCCTCTTTAGGAGGACTGTCTTTTCGCTTTCGCAATAGCGGCAAAATTCTTTATGCCCTAGCAGCTGGCAAAGTTTTTTGTGGACCCCTTCACTACTATCGAAGCGATTGTGGAGAATCCTCTCTTTTATGGCTGTTAACTTTTGCATGGTGCTTTCGTTTGGTTTTGAAGCAGTATTATTCGACAGCACTATTAAATGGTCGCTGAGGAAGGAGAACCAAGCTCTGTCGGTATTGATGATTTTTTCCAAGTTGAGATTGAGCAGTAAGAATCCTTTGGCTCTTCTTTCTTGAATAAATTCAGTGGTGATGGCTGAGTCATCAATCCCTTTTGGCTGGTAATGACTGGGACCTTCAGTTCAACTTCTTTGAGACGATTCCGATTTGCACTATGTGGTGTGCTCGATAATATTTTTCATCTTCCCATTCTGGTGAAGCAGAAATGAATTTGATCAAAATGATGGCTTGAGGATGCCTGAGTCGAAGAGCTAAGACTCCATCTTTTATCTCTATTGGGAGGAGAGATATTTCACTGCTATCACGTGATAGATAGACAGTATGAAGAAAGCCATGATGATAGGCTTCTGCAACATAAGTAGGATTTGCTCCTTGTAAGAAATTGACTTGGGAATAAATCCTATCGCTCGTTGGATAAATTGTGTCGGATGGTTTCAATCCATATACTTGTTTGCATATGCGGATATGCTCAATTATTCCTTTGCTCCTGGAATCATGAACAGGGTTAGCTGGAAATTTTATACCTGATCCAGAAGCTGGTCAGAGAGAAATTGAATTCTCTGTTGGCTGTGTCTCAGCCTGTTTTTCATTTTTATTCTTATTAGATGTTTCAGCCGAAGCTGTATTTGCAATTAAAACTGCTACATTTGCAGATGACTCCGCTATTGCTGAGAGATCAACTATCTTTATTTTGTCAGTTTTACTGACTATATCAGAAGATATATTGCTGATCTCGGCTAAAGCTTCATCTATCATTTCTTGACCATTATTGATCATATGATTTCCTTGTGAGAACATGTCTCTATATAGTTTTGGCAGATTATCTACTTGGATTAATAAATCCCGTCCATGACTGACCATGGTAAGTCCACTTTTGATCTGGGTGATCATCAGTTTGTCGATTATCATTTTGCTCCTTCCCTGCTCAGAAAATCTTTGGTCAGTTTCTGTGAAACTTCCACTTGTGTACCTGCGAACTAATTCACAAGTTTTTGCTTTCTTTTTCAGGACTGCTCCCCAATAATCAGCAGAATTCTCACAGGATTCTTGATGGCTGGCAATCTCTCTTCAAGACGTGCAAGGTCAGCTTCAAGTCCCCATGCAAAACAATTCTTGAACTGCAAAAGAGCCTAGATTCCCTGAAGGGATTCTGCAATGTCAGCTACAAAAGCTTCCGCCATTTTGTTTTTGAGTGGAGAGGAGAAGCGATTAATTGAAATGAAAATGAGTGAGATGAGAATGAGGTTTTGTTTCGAAGATGTGTGCCTTCTTGATCTCTGCAAGCCTCCTTAAATACTCAGCATTCATATGAAGGCAACACAAACGCAATAATTGAAGACTTTTTCTTTCTTTTCTTTTCTTTTCTTTTCTTTTTCCTTTGTTTTTTAATGAAAAAGACTTTTCTATTATGAAAACAATATTTTTATACGACTTCTAAATCATATTTTTCCCACTTTTTTTTTTTTTGCTATCCCTTTCACACCTTTTTTTGTCCCTCTCTCATTTTTTTCTTTAATAATTGAAATGACATAAAATGTAAATTGAAATAAAAATATTACTCGAAATCAGAAGAAGATCTTTTTTAAATTCAAAGTATTGAAAGTTGAATAGAAAATTTGGGCAATATAGGAGAATTGTTAAAAAATAATAATAGTAAAAAAATAGTCTTTTTATTTTTATATTTTTTTGAATTTTAAAATGACTTTTTTTTTTTAATATGATCTAAATCGAGAATTTATTGTCATAAACTAATTAACAACCTCCCATGTGAGGCTAGCCTCTTAACCTTCAATTAAAAATTATTTTTTTTTTAATTTAAATCTTCTTTTATGAAGCGATTAATTGAAATGAAAAATGAGTGAGATGAGAGTGACGTTTTGCTTCGAAGATGTGCCTTCTCGATCTCTACGGCCTACTTAAATACTCAGCTTTCATATGAAGGCAACACAAACGCAAGAATTTAAGACTTTTTCTTTTCTTTTCTTTTCTTTTCTTTTTTTTCTTTTTTCTTTTTTTGTGTGTGAAGAAGACTTCTCTATCACGAAAACAATATTTTTACACGATTTCTAAACCATATTTTCCTATAAACAGTCATATTTTGAGTTTATTTTTTAAATATATTTTAGTTTACAATAATTGTATTAATGATATATTAGTATTTTTTTTTTAGTATCTTATAAAGTATATGATTTATTGTACGATACAATTCCTTTGTTTAATTAGCATGTATATATCATTATGTACCTTAAAATAGATAATTTCAGAAAATGATAAACACGACTCTATCAGCAATAGTCTGCAGCCAGTTCCCAAGCAAAGGAATAACAACTGCTACAATATTTCATAAAATGTGTTGTGTGTGGCTTTATGAGCTAATAATATATTTAGCTAATTAGTTTTTTTTTTTTTTTTTTATAAGTATGAGGCATTTAAATATTTTTATGTCTCTGTTTAGGACATAGAGTGAAAGACGGAGACTTTATATTGAGCCTCTAGGGTTTTTGTATTCTTCTACTATCAAGCTAATAAAAATTCCCTCTCGCGATGGAGTAGATAATTTGCCGAACCACGTAAATATGATTTCTAAATCATATTTTCCTATAAAAAGTCATGTTTTGAGTTTATTTTTTAAATATATTTTAGGTTACAATATTGTATTAATGATATATTAGTAATTTTTTTTAGTATCTTATAAAATATATGATTTATTCATTCTACGACGCAATTCCTTTGTTTAATTAACATGTATAGATTAAATGCCTTTGAGTAGATAGTGGCTTGGAATTCTATGGTGAAAATTTTAATGAGTTTTATACAAACTCTAGGATTGTCCAAGCATCGTACGCTTAGACACACTCCTCGGCAAAATGGAATGGCAGAGTGCATGAATAGAACTCCGATGGAGAGAGCTAGATGTATGCTCTCTACCTTGAGTTTGGAGAAGGATTTCTAGGCTGAAGCGAGTTAACATAGCTTGTTATCTTATCAACCATTCTCCCTTTACTTCCATTGATTGTAAGACTCCAAACGAGGTATGGTCAAGTAAACCTAATGATTATTCAAATTTAAAAGTATTTGGATGTCCCGCTTATTATCATGTTAAAAATGGTAAACTTGAAACTAGAGCAAAGAAATACATATTTGGCTATGCTTAAGGGGTGAAAGGTTATCGTCTATGGTGCCTTGAATCCAATTCATCTAAATTCATTATTAATAAAAATGTTACTTTTAATGAGAAATATATGCTTGATAAAGAAAATGTTGTTTGTGAGTCTATAGGAAAGAGTGAGAAAGTCATGGATAAAGTGGAGCTTCATGTGGAATTTAAAAGAAAGACATCTTTAGAAACCATCCCTAGATGTATCCCCCATAGTTGCAGATATGCAACAAGATTCAAATATGAATGAAGATACAAAGAAGTTGAACAACCTTACTCAATAGCTACTCGGTCTAGAGAGAAGACAGATAAGACCTCCTCAAAGATATGCTTATGTTGATCTAGTAGCCTATGCCTTCATTGGAGCCAAGAAAATGAGTATTTAGGAGCCTTCTACCTATAAAAAGATAGTGATTTGAAAAGATAGGCTCAACCGGTGAAAGAGAGAGACACAATCATGTGAGTTTTTTTCTCTCTCATATGTTTCATGCTTCGTTCATGTGAAACACTTGTCTTGTGTCCGTGTGTCGTGAGCATTTGTCCGTGCATGTTGGGGCCTTGTTGAAGAGAAGGAATTTGTTAGTCTTAATATTAAGTCAATATTTTCTCTCTTCACATCTCGTGCTTCTTACACCAAGTTACCTCACGTAAGCTTAAGGGTGTGTTTTGAGGAATTATTTGACATTATTGAAGGTTTGCAAAATTCAAGCCAAGGTGGAGATTTATTGTGTATGGCTTGAATTTTATGGGCCAATAATATATTTAGCTCGTTAGGTTTTTTCCTTTATAGGTATGAGGTATTTAAACTTCTTTATGTTTCGTTTAAAAAATATAGTAAAAGATAGAGACTTTGTATTGAGCCTCTCGGGTTTTTGTATTCTCCTACTATCAAGCTAATAAAACTTTTCTCTCGATCATGGAGTAGGTAATTTGCCGAACCACTTAAATCATGTGTGTTGATAATTTGTTTAGCTTTATCTTTTGATTATTACTTGTCATTCCTTGTCTTGTTTCCACTCGTTTTTCATAACAAATGAATTAATGAGATATAAAACTCTATCCTTGTAAGAAAAATGTTGTGTTTAAGTTGATTAATTATGTTTTATTCATGTACTGCCTTATTGATGAATATGTGTTTTGGCTGTTGTATACTCTGTTTTTGCCATTCGGTAACAAAGTTTAGCAGCATAAACATGCATGATGCCTCATGTAGAAGTCGCAGTCATAATGTAAACTTAATCACCAATGATAATTTTACAATATTAAGCTTCAGAACATCTAATCCTTTAAGAAGTTCAAAATCACCCTCCGCAGCGGCAGGACGATAGCAGCAAGAATATCTCCTTGTAGTTCTCAATAGTATAAAGAAAAAGAAGAGGGAAGGAGGAGTATATATGGTTGTTCTTCAAACTCTGTAGATTTAGAACACTAGTCTTTTGTCTTCATATCTTGTATGATAAAAAAGAAAAGGAATCAAACAACTGGGGTCATTAACTTACATAGAGTTGGTATATCTTCTCATTCTTGAACCTCTTTGAAAGAAATAAAAGAAATAAAGATTGAATGAATGTCTATATTATTTTCCTTTGATAGGATGATAGAATATACACACTGCATAATCTATAATTTCGTCCTATATTATAGCATATAGACATGATTTCCTCTTTACGTTCCTAAGATCAAAAAGTTAGATAATAACAGTTAACTTTCCAAATCATCATGATATTATAATCTTCAATGCATTAATCTTCATTCCCTAACACTCTTAACAAATGTGGAAAATAGGTAACATTAGGAAAGATCAATTATATCTGTGGTTTTCTTAGGGAAGGGAAAACACCATAATATCTTGCAAATCAAAAATTTCTTGCCAACTTTCTTTTCCCCATTTCTAGAGAAAAGTCAAATTTTATCTTTCTTGGGAGGACTTAGTTGCTTGAAATGTTTGTACTGATGAGACGGAACCTGCATATCATAATGGGGAACAGATTTAGATAAAACTGGAAGCATAACTGGCTCTAAAATATCTGTTATTTCGAGCCACTTCGTTGCCAATGAAAAACAAATATGATGGTACCATGTGTGAGAAAATGTTTATTATTACATCATAAAATATTAGATACAAGCATGAAGTGATAACAAATGAATATTCATTAATTATTAATGATAGTTTATCCACAACAAATACAATGGCTGCTGGAAAGCAACCCAGAAAGCCATAAACAGCTAGCTAAGAAATTTAAGGCATGAAGAATTAAACAAGAGAAACACATCCAGCCTCAAGATAATCTTTACAAGTAACCAATGGTTGTAGGAGATCTGATCCAACAGGACTCTCAAATAAAAAGAAACATCTAGAGCAGATCCAGGAATATTGAAAACAATTAGCCCGAGGCATTGGAACAAGAAATCAAAGTAGCAACCAACAATGAAAAGCCAAATGAATCACAAATAGGAACAATGAAAAGAACACATAGAGAGAGGAAATTACTCTCCACTGCAACACCACCAAACAGATTGAAGATCTCGAACAACCATCAGCAGAAACCCACATGGAAGCTGCAAAAAAGAGACAAACAAAGAATTTAATATTGTTAGCAAGTTCAAAGAAATTTTAAATATGTTGCTAAAAGAATTAGTTAACTTTTAATGAGAACAAAACATCGTACTCCTTCAAAACACACAGGGTTTGTCAAATTAACTAGAATAAGCATTGCAAACATATAGAATAAATACAAGAAGAGAAAATGGTTCCATTAAAAAAAAGACATTAGGAGTTGAACAATTAATCTATAAGATGTGAAACTAAATATAAAAATATAAAATCCTAAAAATCTGTACCTAATAAGATGATTCTTCATCATCGTCAACATCAATGTCAGGGATATGAGCAATCTTGGGGCAATCTTCTCCAGTTCCCATTTGGCACCTTTTGCCCAAACTTGGACAACCCCAAATCTTAAGTGCTTGGAGTTTCATTAGATTGCCGACACATTCTGGCAATTCTCTAATGTTTGGACAGTCTCCAATAATAAATGTTTGCAAAGAGTCTGTAGATCTTTGAAGAATCTGTTCTGGTAATGCTTGTGTTGCTGGTAACCCTCCAAAAATTACAATCTGAAGGCGAAGTGGTTGAATTTCTTCCTCATATTCTTGCTCCATTGAAATACCCAAATCAAGCTTTTCACAATCGGAAATACTCAAAATCTCCAATGCAGTCAGGTATTTCATGCTTCGTGGCAAAGAGATCAAGCTTTTACAATGAACAATATACAATCTTCGAAGGCTTTTAAGACCTTGCATATCTTCACACAAATATTCAAGATTTTCACACCCACCAATGAAAAAAATTTGAAGATATTCCAATAACCCAATCCCACCTTCTGGCAACCGCTTCTGCTTAGTACTTAAAAGAAGAATTCTAAGGCTAATCAAGTACCTCACATCTTTGGACAGCTTTTCTAATTGACCACCTAGAAATAAAGCTTGCAAATTTTGTAATTTGAAAATAGATTTTGGTAATCTTTTCAATTTTGAACTTGCAGCCAAATTGAGATATCTCAAATGTTTCAGGACACCAATCCTTTCTGAAAGCAATTCACAATCGTCCAATAATTCCAACGACCGCAAATGCTTAAATTCTGTCAAACATTTCTCAAAGTCTGTTTTGCATCTAGGTTCTTCTAGATCACTTGCAAAGAGAACTGATCTCACACGATCTAATTTATTTGCGGGCTTGGGAAGAGCTTGATGAAAAATGAATGAGAGTCAAGAACTGACAAATGAAGGGTAGTTTTGAAAATTTTGTTGTTTTGAGAGGTTATGATTGAACACTCATTTTGAGCTAGAGATGATGCAAGATCATGCATCAAATCATGCATTTTAAAACTAACAGCAAAATACATTTCTTCAAAATCTTGAAAGAAACATTTTGATATCAACTCACGTAGATACCGTGAGCCAACATCTTCCAAGTTTTCATTTGGATTTGATGATTGAATGAGTCCATGCGCCATCCAAAATTGCACCAAAACTAAATCTGTAAAAACGTAATCTTTTTGGAAAAACTGAACAATAAATAAAACATCTTTTCGAGTGAGTTGACAGTCGTTGATAACTTATTTATAAAGCAGGTAAAACCCCATCTTCTTTTTCCTCCCATGTCCCATTGTCTCTTATCAATTTCCACTCTCTTTCATCAAGTTTACCATACAGTTGAGTTCCTAAGTTAATTATTGCCAAAGGAATTTGCTTACATTTTTCCACTATTTCTTTCCCAATTTCAACCAAATTTGGATATTGTTCCTTTTGCCTTTCCTTAAATGCACACTTATCAAACAAAAACAAACAGTCCTTCTGATCAAGAAGACTTAACTCGTATGCAGGAACAGTACCCATTATCTCAGCAACACGTTTGCTACGGGTAGTTACTACGATTTTACTTCCTAAATACTTGACATTCATGCGAAGGCGAAGCATACACCTATTAATATTCTTTCCTTTAGTAGCGATTTATCTCTTACTTGGGAGAAAGAAACATCTTAAGGATCTATCCCTTACTTGGAACTTTCTTCGCGCCATGGTATAAAGAAAGTTTGTAGAAAAAGCAAGTGGTCTCTCTCTCTCAGAATCTGAGATGCATTTGATCAAATTTGAAGAATTGTCAATTATGATAATGATGATAAATTGTTAATTACTTTTATTTAGGTTTAAACTAGTTTTAAAAATATCAACAGTACACAGTTAATTAGCATTATATAACTCTGCACTATAGTGGAATAACAAACGTTGGAAATATATTGAAAACTTTTAAAAATATATTCTTTCCTTTAGTAGCGATTTTTTTTTTTTTTCAAAAACAACTTTTTGTAGCCTTTTCATTTCCCTTTTCTTTTCCAAACAGTTCTTTGGGAAATTCCCGGTTTTTGATTACCACGGCACAGAGTTGTAATGATTTCAATGTGATGACTAGCCTCTTAACCTTCCATTAAAAATTATTTTTATTTTAATTTAAATCTTCTTTTATGAAGCGATTAATTGAAATGAAAAATGAGTGAGATGAGAGTGAGGTTTTGTTTCGAAGGAGGAATAAGGCTGTTCTTCAAACTCTGTAGATTCAGAACACTAGTCTTTTGTCTTCATATCTATTATTCTGGAAACTCATCTGGCTCTAAATATCTATTATTCTGACAAAAGCAATTGAGAAAATGTTTATTATTAGATCATTAAGTATCATATATAAGAATGAAGTGATAACAACTGAATGTACACCGATTTATTAATGACAATTTATCCACAGGTAATACAATGGCTGCTAGAAAGCAACCCAGAAAGCCACACGAAGCTAGCTAAGAAAACTAAGGCATGAGGAATTAAACAAGGCAGACGCATCCAGCTTCAAGCCATTCTCTGCAAGCAACCAACAGTTTTAGAAGATCTGAGCCAACAGGACTGGCCTCACAACACGCAGAGCAAGGGCCAACAATGAGAGAGCAAATAGCAGGATGAAAAGAAGCAGCAGGAGCAAATCCAGGAATATCAAAAAGGATTAGCCCAGGGCACTGGAACAAGAAACCAAAGCAGCAACGAACAATGAAAAGCCAAATGAATCACCAACGGGAACAGTGAGAAGAGCACACAGAGAGAGGAAATTAATCTCCAGTGCACATTCTTCATCTTTATTTGAACGAACAGATTGAAGATCCCGAACAACCATCAGCAGAAACCCACACGAAAGCTGCAAAAAAGAAACAAACAAAGAATTTAATACTGTTAGCAAGTTCAAAGAAATTTAAATATGTTGCTGAATGAATTAGTTAACTTTCAATGAGAACAAAACATCGTACCGGCTTGCTCTTTTGCTCTGGTGAAGCAGACGCAGTTCTATTGAACCTACCCCTCCAAAACACACACAAGATTTGTCAAATTAACTAGAATAAGCATTGCAAACTTATAGAATAAATACAAGAGGAGAAAATGGTTCCATTAAAAAAAAAAAAAAGGGTATAAGGAATTGAACAATCTACAAAGTGTGAAACTAAATATGAGAATATAAAATCCTAATAATCCGTACCTAATCAGATGTTTCTTCATCATAGTCAACTCCAATTTCAGGGATATGAGCAATCTTGGGCCAATCTTCTCCTGTTTCCCTTTGGCACCTTTTGCCCAAACTTGGACAACCCGAGATCTGAAGCACTTGGAGTTTCTTTAGATTGCCGACGCACTCTGGCATTTCTCTAATGTTTGGACAGTCTCCAATCATAAATGTTTGTAAGGAGTCTGTAGATCTTTGAAGAATCTGTTCTGGTAATGCTAGTGTTGCTGGTAACCATACAAACATTACAGTCTGAAGGCGAAGTGGTTTAATTTCTTCCTCGTACTCTTCCTCCATTGAAATACCCAAATCAAGCTTTTCACAACAGAAAATAGTCAAAATCTCCAATGCAGTCAGGTATTTCATGCTTCGTGGCAAAGAGATCAAGCTATTACATTGACCAATAACCAATCTTCGAAGGCTTTTAAGACCTTGCATATCTTCGCACAAATATTCAAGATTTTCACACTCGCCAATGAATAAAACTTGTAGACATTCCAGGAACCCAATCCCACCTTCTGGTACTCGCTTCTGCTTGGTATTTAGAAGTAAAAGTCTAAGGCTGATCATGTACCTCACATCTTTGGGCAGCTCTTCCAATCCATCACCGAGAAACAGAGCTTGCAAATTTTGTAATTTGAAAAGAGATTTTGGTAACCTTTTCAATTTTGAATTCTTCGACAAATGGAGATATCTCAAATGTTTAAGAGCACCAATCCTTTCTGAAAGCATTTCACAATCATCCAATAATTCCAACGACCGCAAATGCTTGAATTCTGTCAAACATTTCTCAAAGTCTGTTTTGCATCTAGGCTCCTCTAGATCACTTGCAAAGAGAAGTGTTCGCACACGATCTAATTTATTTGGAAAATTGGGAAGAGCTTCATGAAAAAAAGAATGAGAGTCAAGAACTGACAAATGAAGGGTAGTTTTGGAAATTTGATTGTTGTGAGAGGTTACGATTGAACACTCATTTTGAGCCAATGATGATGCAAGATCATGCATTAAATCATGCATTTTAAAAGTAAACCAAAGCAACACATCTTCAAAATCTTGGAAAAAACATTTTGAGATCAACTCACGCAGATACCGTGAGCCAATATCTTCCAAGTTTTCATTTGGATTTGAGGATTGAATGAGTCCATGTGCCATCCAAAATTGCACCAAAATGAAATCAAAAAACTGGTAATCTTTTGGAAAAATTGAACAATAAAGAAAGCATCTTTTCAAATGAGTTGGCAATCGTTGGTAACTTATTTTTAAAGCAGGTAAAATCCCATCTTCTTTTTCCTCCCATGTCCCATTGTCTCTTATCAATTTCCACTCTCTTTCATCAATTTTACCATACAGTTGAGTTCCTAAGTTAATTATTGCCAAAGGAATTTGCTTGCATTTTTTCACTATTTCTTTCCCAATTTCAACCAAATTTGGATGTTGCTCCTTCTGTCTTTCCTTAAATGCACACTTATCAAACAGAGACAAACAGTCCTTCCGATCAAGAAGACTTAACTCGTATGCAGGAAAAGTACCCATAATCTCAGCAACACGTTTGCTACGGGTGGTTACTACAATTTTACTTCCTAATGCACCCTTAGAAAACAAAGGCTTCAACAAGAGCCATTTGTGGGGATCTTCGTTCCAAACATCATCTAAAACAAGCAAGTATTTCCTACCATTTAAAATTGCTTCAAGTTTCGCTTTTAGTTCACCCTCATCCAAATCACTGCATTTTTCTCCAATTGCAGATTTAATAATTTTTGGAATCACTTGTTTTAGAGTAAAACCATCTGAAACACACACTTGCATTTTCAGTCCAAAATGAGTGCCTATGTTTCCATCATCACCTACCGATTTGGCAAGAGCGGTCTTCCCCAAACCACCCATTCCAACTATTGGAACGACAAAAGGATGTTCATCACCAACCTTAAAAGGTTTTACTAAAAGGTTGATGATGCGTTCCTTGTCTTTGTCTCTTCCAATAAGACCAGAAAAGCTCTCAAAGGATTGTCTCATTTCTGTTTCCTCATGCAAGACATGACTATGATCAATAGTCTGCTCGATGAGGTTAAAGTCAGACTTAAGAGATGCAATCTCAGCCAGTCTGTCGATGAGATCCTTTATTTTATGACCCATTCTTAAACGGAATGCAATCGCATTAGAACTTGAAAAGAAGCGTCGTACCTTTCTGCTGATGCTCCCTCCAGTTTTCACCACCTGTCTTCGCAAAGTATCACACTCGAATTCATCCAGCACGTCCTCTGCATCATACAAGACTTCTTTGAGCTCCTGAAGCCAAAGCCGAATCTTGTCATTATGTGACTGTCGCTTCTCGGCATCCGAAAGAACAGCATCGATGGCTGACAATTTCTTTTTGAGACGTGCAAGGTCACCTTCAAGTCCCCATGCCAAAAAAAATTCTTGAACTGTGAAAGAGCCTAGCTTCCCTAAAAGGGATTTTGCAATGTCGGTTGCAAAAGATTCCGCCATTTTCTATTTGAGTGGAGAGGATAAGTGTTTGATAGAAAAAATGATTTGAGATGAGGGTGTTGGAGAGGATCAGTGGTTGATAGAAAAAATGATTGAGATGAGGGTGTTGGAGTGAATTTATATTTTGAAAGAGGCTTACTTCTTCATATCTAGCTACAAGATTGCTTAAATACTTGACATTCATGTATTAATATTCTTTCCTTTAGTAGTGATTTATCTCTTACTTGGGAGAAAGAAACATCTTAAGGATCTATCCCTTACTTGGAACTTTCTACGTACCATGGTATAAAGAATGTTTGTAGAAAAAGCAAGTGGTCTCTCTCAGAATCTGAGATGCATTTGATCAAATTTGAAGAATTGTCAATTATGATAGTGATGATAAATTGTTAATTACTTTTATTTAGGTCTAAACTAGTTTTAAAAATATCAACAGTACACGGTTAATTAGCATCATATAACTCTCTTTTCCCCTAGAGTTAGATACCGTAAAAGCACTATAGTGGAATAACAAACGTTGGAAATATATTGAAAACTTTCATGAAATTTTTATAAACGAAGAGAAAATTCATTTTGGTGTTCATTATAAGATTTAGTAAAAATGAACTTTTATTCCAGGATAAGATTCTGTCCTCTCCAAGAACTATATTCATCCTGCAATACATTTTGTCTCCAGCTGAAGTTCCAGTCATAAAGAGGGGATCATGGCCAGTAATTTATTCGTTTCTAACTATCAATATTTTTGGGTTTAGCCTAAGAAAACTATTGAAACTCTTGAAACGCTTGAATGCAATAGTACAAATGGAGGGGATTCTATTTATCCTTCAAGGATGGCGTTCTGTTCCCTATAAATGCGATCCATACCACTCGCATTATATGCCAAATTATGTTCCTTAAAACACATGATTTCTGTTTTAAGCCAGAGAAATGCATGGAAACTTCAGAGCCACATAGGCATGAACCACGAAATGCATACGCAAAAGTTTACAGAGATGCATCTGAAAAATAATGTTGCACATAATCACTATATGATTAAATTTCCCATTTCATAGGGCTCCATTTGATAAGCGGCTTACTCAAATTTACAACAGCAAGCTTCAACCCTAACAAAACATCTGAGCCTCTAAGAAAGTGCAAAGGCCAGGTGATGTTACAACAGTAAACTTCAATCCTATCCAAAAAACTAGGCCTCTAGGAGAGTTCAAAGGCCGAGATAAATTTCTGAACTCTTGCTTGCGTTCGCTCCTTCTCTTCAGGTCCATCTAGGTCACCAATGTTATCATGATATTCCTATGATTCACAAAAGCAAGCATCATGCAATAAGTACTTGCTATGTTATGGTATTTGGCAGCCCAATATCATTTCATGCACTAAACTTTGATGGAGAATTACATTTTGTAATTTAAAGCTATCATTCCAGATATTTCATTCTTTTATGTCCCAGGAGATTATATAGGATTATTTTGGATACCTAGCAATATCACAGCTTTGTTAATCGCAAGTAAGAACCCATTACTATTTTTTAAAAGCACAATAATCACCAATAACCCAGGTCACTGTACAGAATCTAGAAGCAGTTACAAAGCACGTACCAGAAGTATATCCCTAACATCATTCTTAGTAAGCCTCTGTTGCCTCAATAATAGTTCAATCCTTGCTCTCATTTGAGAGTGCCTGAACAAAAACCAATAGATCACCTTGAGGGATCGATGTCAAAAATGATATAACTTAAATAAGGTTCCTCTAATGAGTAGATAAGAGAATGGTTGATGGGAAACTTACTCGGAGCACCAGAGATGGCCCAGAATGATGGCTATCAACTGCAGGTCAATAGACGAAGAGGTTTAAAACAATAAACAAAGCTGAGATATTGAAAGCATGAAACTATGGAAAATCAAAGACAGATAAATGTTGAAACTCAAGTAAATTTTTTCAATCCCTCTTAGTCACCACACAAGTTCAATAAACTGAAATCCCTTCACTATTCTTAAAACACAATGCAATTAATATATAGCCCAAATGCCAAATGTAGGTTCAAGATCCAAATTTCAACTGCTAAATTGTCCATCACTTATCCAGATTCCTCTTTTTTTTTTTCCTTTTTTTTCCCTGGCCCTTGATATGAAATTAATCCAGATTAGTTTAAATGACCAATATCTGTGCTTGATTTATTATAAACTTTCCATAGTGATGCTAACAGACAGTCCTCAGATTTAAAATTACACAGTGATTAAGCAAGATTTAAATTACTCCTGTTAATCAATGATAACTTCCAACCAACTGCTTGATAGACCCCACAACTTGTGCGAGTCCATAAATAAAAGTTAGCAATTTCATAGACAACTCTGACAAGAAACCACTGGGACAGCAACTAACCTGAAGGGTGTAGAGTCCAGATTCTAGTTTTCGATTATATCTTTCATCGTCGTCGATCTGTATAATGCACACCATATTGTAAACAAAGTGCTTTCAAAGTCAAATATCGACAAGACAGCAGAAATACAAATGTGAAATACCTCGAGATCATCAAATTCAAGCTCATCCATTCGTTTAGTCTCTTCTTTTACTCTATCCGAATATCTGAGTTAAGATCATCATTAATCAGGTGTTAAAGGCTGAATATATAATTTCAAACAGAAGTGAGGGAGGAGCAGGGCTATTCTCCAAAATCCATAGGCAGAAATTCGAACCACTAGTCTATTGTCTTGTCTGAATGAAAAAAAGTTAAGCAAATAAGTGGTTTATTACCTTATATAGAGTTCCATAAGGCGGTCTATCTTCTCATACTCATTTTCCACAAATTTACTTAGTAGTCTTTCTCTTCTTGAACCTCTTAAAATCCCACCTGAAAAAAAAAAAAAAAAAAAAAGAAAAAAAAAGAAAAAAACAGGAAAGATCAATTAATGCTGTGATTTTCTTGGGGAGAAACACCATAATATCCAACAACTGGAAATTATTTGCTATTTGTATAATTTAATTTTTGTCATGTGAATTTAGTTGTATACAATTTAACTCAGTGCAGATACATCAAGCTTACAACCAATTCCCTGACAAGCAACAACGTGAAAACAATCTCCTGGTAATTTCTTCAGAGATGCCAGCTATAAAATCCAGTGTGATGAAAACAAGGTATGCATAAATATATTACAAGTAGAAGACCACCATAAACGGGTTCAAATTGGGTCTGCCAATCTCTAACACCACCATATATTTGGGCCCATCCCAAAATGGGATACCAGATCTGATGGTGGACAGATATCTGTATATCCATTTGATTCACTTGTTTCAGCCCAGATATGCTTTTACCAAGTAAAAACTCAATCCTACAATAAGAGAACATTCAGGACTCCTTTTGGAAATTGACACAGGTGACAATGCCACAATTCCTCTTTTGTGACCAATGTATGAAAGCCAACAAATCAATATATGGAAGCTTGATATATTTTCATGTTATATCAAATCAATCAACATTGAAAAAAGGCCAAAATCTCATTCCATTTTTTTAGTTCTTTTTTTATTGTACTTTTGCTAAACAAACACTAGGAAGAGCAAATGGACATAATTTCCATCCAGTCCAAGTCCTGTTAGAGGTTACCAAATGGTCCTTGAAGCTTTAAGTAGCAAATACATGCAAAAATATGGACAGAATGCCTAAAACTGTTTAACAACTTACCAAATAATGATGCAATTAAGGAGATAACGCGCTCTTCTAACTCCTCTCGATATCGTTCTTTCTTATTCTGCTTGCTCATGGGAACCTAAAGAATCAAAGGTAACAATTAAAATATGTTAGCCTAATTCCCTTTTACAGGAGACAAACAAATGGCACAAACATTACACAAATTAACTCTACCTCCAGCGCAATGTGCAATGAAAGATGTACTTACAATTTTTTTCAACAAAAAGGAAATGTTTATAGGAAGAGAAGAAGAGCACAAACACATTAGGAGGACAAGACATCATCCAACAAAGTAAAAGGACTGGAAAGAAAGAAAATCAGAAAACTCGGGCACTCTAGTCTCACCCAATAGTGGTTAATGAGTCCCTAAAACCTGAAGTTCACAAAGAGGACACAGACAAATTTAGGGCATTCCAAGTCCCATTGAATATTGATTGAGAGGGCTCTTCTAAAAGCCCTAGGTGCTGAATTCCACATAGACAACTAGCTAGTGATTGTTCCGAAAAGGATCATTAAAAGTTTTGGTTCTTGAACATGGTGCACTATACAACTGCATATTGTACAGTGTTTCATGCTCCCGAACCTCCCAAAAACATCACAAACACCTTAAATTGACTAGAGACCACCCACGGGCCATTATTAACCACAAATCTCAAACGACGATTTCCGCATATTTAAAAACACTAAAATATTTGGGAAAATGTGTTATAAGTCTCCCAACTACTGTGACACATAACATAAACACCCAAACTCCACTCTCAACCCTCTGTGGTTCAAGGAAACCAAGAATAGCCAGTAACAGAAGGAAATTCTATGTTTCTCTATCATTAAGATTGCTAACAAAATGAAGGTCTCAATATACATATCCCCCATATCCCTCTCCATGATACAAGGACTAGAAACTGGAGCATTATGTGATCTAGTGAGTCAATAAAAATTTGTACCAGGAAGTTGAGTGGTTGAAAAATCGTTTTATCCATAGAATGCATGCACAAGAACAGGTAAATCCTAGCATGCATACGCATCTTGGTTAAGTAAGCAGGGTTTCTATAGAGGGGCGATTCCTTGTAGAGATAAAGAATCTCCATGCAGGCTTCGATCAACCGCCAAGGTTTGAACTTTGAAGCTTAAAGAAAGTGACAGAAACTAAAACACAATAGAAAATATTTTCTAACGAAATGCAGCTGACAAGTCCTTTCATCCATAATCTACTTCCACACCAACACAACCAACCACACAAAAATTTATAAAATTAACATGACTCAAACAATAAATTGTGCAAATTCCCAAACTTTAACAGAATTCCAAACTTTTTCTGTCTTTTCATCAGGCAAATGGAACCCGAGTAGTGACACATATTGTTCCAACTCTTGAATACTTACACCACCTTATTTACAAGGTGTCGTACAAATCTCATATCCCTTCACAAAGTAATCACTTATCTAATTCAATATCCATATTCAAGCATTAACATTAGGATAAAAAGTACAACTAATCAATGAATGTAACTAAACCAATTGGAAACACAAGAATAGGGTAAAGAAAGAAAGAACTTGCCTTACCCATGAAAGCAGCGAAAGCAGTCTTCAACCCCAAAACATCAACAAACCTCTCACAAGCAGGTGGATAATTAGTCATAGCAAAATCAAGCGCTCTGATGGCCGACCCATAAGCCAATTTCTTCTGCTTCATAATAATAATCATCAACTCCACCCCTTCCGCCTTCACAAACCTCTCCTTATTCTCCAATGGCATTAACAAACAACACAAACAATCAAACAAATTCTCCACCATCTCCTCCTCGTCCCCAGTCTTCGGATCCTTACTCTTATACATCGCAACCGCCTGCAAAACCACATCAACCCCATTCATTTGCCCTAACTTCTTCTGATTCGCCTCACTATTCTGCAACAGAATTGACAAAATCTCCGCAGCGTACTGCTTATTACTATCAAATTCCCTCACCTTTAACTTCCCCAACAACCATTTCAAAATCCTCGTTTTCTCACAAATCATCTCCGCCACCTTCGGCTCCACCTCAATCATGTTCTCCACCGTCGCTAACGTGTTATAAACCGCCGCCATTTCGTCCTGGTCATCGGAATCCGACAACCTCTGCAAATTCTGCACTAACAATTCCAACACATTGTTCTCGATAAGTGTGTTAACGAGTGCTTTCATCGATTCCTCTTCGTTCTCGTTGCTCATTTCCACTACATCCTCGTCAGTAAGGTCTTGTAATAATAGAATAACATCGATGGCAATATCGGTATTTTCATGTGATAAGAGTGATAAAATGGAGGGGATGGTGTTCATGGATATCAAATCGGGGTAAAGTTCCGGTGCGGAGGAGAGTATTTTGAGTTTTTGGAGCTCGTTATGGAGGTCAATCTCGGAATCGGCAAATTTTTCCGGCTGGTCTGGGTATTTAAGGCGGGATTCGATGTTCTCTTTGTATTTGCGTTCGAAGGAGAGGATTAGTTTTTTTAGGGTTTTGAGATCTAGGGTTTCAATAGGTTGGGATTTTGTGAAAGATTGTGATTTTTCTATTGCGTCGAGGAGGGAGAGATCGATTTCGTCGGTAGCAGCGGCGACGGTTGTGGGGGTACCGCCGTTGGGAAATGGTTGAGGAGGAGAGGTAGTGTCGCGTTTGCGTTTGGAGTTGTGGCTGCGTGCGTTGGCGATTTCCATTGTTGTTTAGCTTTGCTGCTGGAGATACTATACTGTACTACGTAGTGTCTTCTCTATTTGTAGCGTGCCGGTAAATATTTACTTTAGTCCTTATATATTTAATATGTTTTACATTTAGACCTTGTAGATAAATATTTCTCAATATTGAACTCAAAGGAATGCCACGAAAGTTTCAATATAATCCTTTGTCATTTAATAGCTATTGACAATTAATGAAACGCTCCAGTTTTTCTAATTTTATTTTTATCCTCTAACATTTCGTGTTTTTCTCCCTTTTTTTCTTTCAAAATCTTATATTTGTCCCAAATATTCCAACTAAAATCCTTTTAATATAAATGAAAACATAGTAAAAAAAATTAGAATTAAAATTAAAAAGAAATATCTTCAAATTAGCTTGCTCGTTAACTAAAATAAGCTAAGTTTTCAAAAAAGAATATATTATAAAAAATACACGAAAAATAAATTATGTTTTCAAATAAAAATGGTATAAAAAAATACACAAAAAAATAAATTATGTTTTCAAATAAAAATAATATAGAAAATACAGGTAATATATTGATCTAGACATGTCTGCATTTATAAATATGCATAGATTATACATAACACCAATGTTATGATACTAAGAAGATAAACAACACTATTAGTGAGTAAATTATAAATTACTCCCTCTATTTTTTAAAACAAATTAATTAATCAATTAGTTTTAAAAACTAATAAATTAATCTTTTGACTAGTTTTAATCACGTTCAATTTAATACTAATTTATTTTTAAAAATAACATTTTTTAATCAATTTCTCAATATATATTTTTAATTTTTTTATAATTTTTTTAAAGTAAAAAATAAAAAATAAATTGAAAAAGAATGAAAAAAGAATTAAGTTATGAGAAAATTTAAATATATAAGAAATAAATAATTAGTTTTTGAAACAAAATAGCTTAATTAATTCATTTCTCAAAACTATAGGGACTAATTTATAATTTACTCCATTATTAGTTCATACTACGATGGCCTTACTTCAGTTTCCCGTCGCCGGAAAGATGACTGCAACTTGAAACTCTTAACAGTCTCTTGTGATGTATCCAACAAGAACATTTATTGACTTCCAAATATTTTAACTTTCTTGTCTATCCTAGAGGTCAGTGACTATGGAGTGAAACATTTTATGGAATCTGGGAGGTCAGTATACAATTTGACTCGTTAGAAGATACGTCTAATCACATGTTTATAAAAAATGTGTCTTAGTTCTAATGGATAGAGGATTAGTAGTACTCCTAACCCTACAAGTTTTTCAATACTAGCCAAAACCAATCCTAAGCTTACAAAGATTTTATTGTCAAGTCTTTATATAATTTGGATAAAAATTCATGCCACGTCAAAATAAGATAATAAATCTCTTCTACGATAATCATAAAATATTTTAGAACTTTCACCTAAAAGCTTAAGATGTGACCGTTTAAGAAAATGAAAATGTTAAGATTTGAACTTGTAACCCGTTTGGTCATCATGACTCGATATAATATCACATGATCATCTCACTCAAAAACTTAAGTTATTAGATGAAATCCCATAATATGATTTATATTATTCTCTAATAATATTATTGCTGGATATAGAAATCAAGTCCAAACACCTTAAAGGAACAACATGACTTAACTAACATAGATGTTTTATGATGAAATAAAATATGTGATCTCTAATTGGATGTATGGCATTTTAACTCTTACAACGTACCACGATCATATCTTGATTACAACTAAGATTACCAACCAAATTCTTAAGGAAAATAGCTTTTTCTAACTACGTATTTCATCTCTATGGTAGAAAATGCCATGATAGATTATAAAATAACTTTCCAAACCACAAAACCCTTAAGTTGTTGCATATCACCAATCGTCTTCTTTCCCTGGGCACGTTGGACAAACTGGAAGTTTCATTCTTGTGTAGAAATTCTACATCTTCATACATCGAAACCTCCAAAGACCAATTATACCATAATTATGGAAAATCACTCAAAATATATGACTTTTATTCATAAATGTCTCAATTGCAAATGCTATTATAATTCTTTAAATAAAATATTAGAAAACACTGATAATAATAGAAAAACTAAATCTAACAAAAATAGAATCATAATTTATCACTGATTTTCTAATGATTAATTGAATAAACATAAGAAATTCTAAAAAAGTATCAAAAGAATATTATAATAAAAAATTATGTAAAAAAATCATGCGTTTCCCTTTAAAAGATTCTTTTACGGTTAAAATTAAAACAAACAAAAAGGTCAAGAAACTACATGACCTCAATAATCCGAGTAAATTATAAATTAGTCCCCTTAGTTTCAAGAAACGAATTAATTAATTTTTTATATTTCAAAAATTATTATTTAATCTTCATACTATTATTGATCATGTTTAATTTAATAATATTTTTATTTCACAACATATCTTTTTTCATCAATTTCCTATTTTTTTTTATGTTTCTTAAAACAAAAAATCAAAATAAATTAAAAATGAGAAAAAAAACTTAAATTATAAGTAGTATTAGAAATATAAGGATTAAGTAATTATTTTTAAACTAAAAAGACTAATTACTTTATTTTTTAAAACAAAAAGGACTAATTTATAATTTAAATCAATAATCCATTTAAGTTTTTTGTCTTTTGAGTGGATCATTCCACAATATAAATAAAGATATTGTGTAGATTTTTCTTCCTCCTTCACTGAAATGAAAGAAACATGGTGATTATTTTAATCATAGGATGTCAGTCGCATATTATGGAGTAAATTATAAATTAGTCCCTGTAGTTTTATAAAATGAATTAAGTATTCCTTTTGTTTTAAAAATTAATTAATTAGTTCCTTAGTCAGTCTTAATCATGATTAATTTAATGTTATTTTATTTTTAAAATTTTTTCTTTTCTTGTCAATTTTTCATAATTTTTACTTATTTTTCTACTTATTAAAAAATAAAAATGATTAATTTAGAAATATAATAAAACTTAAGAACTAATTAAGTAGTCATTAAAATTAATTAATATTATAATAATCATATTAAGAATAAACAGATAAATGTATTTAATTTTTTAAGACTTCAAAAATTATTTGGGTTCATTCTAAATTATTTTCTATTTTTTATAATTTTATAAATATTTAATGTTTAAGAAAAATAAGAAATTCTTACTAATCTAAAAAGATTGAATTTATTTTTGGAAGCATAAAAACCCTCAGTTATAAATGGACAATTAAAAAGAAGAGCATAACTGTATGTTTAAAAAAAACGAGGGACTAAAGAATAATTTACTACTTTTTACTCTTTTTCTTTTTTATATTTAATTTCTCTATATTATATTATATTATATTATACTAGAAAATCTCCAATATCCGGATTCTTCTATCAGGAAAAATCCATTTTGGACCTGTCTGTGCTAGAATCATGACAAGACAGCATAAGTAACAGCAATGCAAGCGGCTTATAAAAATCAATAAAGCAAAGATCATTTTTTTCTTGGAGATTATCATCACTATAAAGTCTACAATTCCACAGGAAAAAAAAAAGCGTAGTTCTAAACTGAGAGAAAGAACTCAAGCTCAAGCTTAACTTTCAGCATCAAGATGGGGAAGAGTGTTTTACTGTTATGTGGTGATTACATGGAAGATTCTGAGGTGGGCTGCCTTTCTTTTTATCCATTTTCAATTCTTGAATCATGGATTGATAAAGAATCATGGGTTTTTTTTTTTTTTGGCAGGCAATGGTTCCATTTCAAGCTTTGCAGGCTTATGGGATTGCTGTTGATGCTGCTTGTCCTGGCAAGAAAGCTGGTGATGTTTGCCGCACTGCAATTCATGACTCTGCTGGTTATCAGGTCCTCTCTCCCTCATTATATACATTTAATCATATTATTATGTCCATTTTTGCTGTCTTTTTTTTTCTTAAAAAAAAAAAAGCTTATTAATTTGCACAATATGAAAGTCTTTTGGATTTTTTGCAATAATTTGTGAATATAAGAAAAGGGAAATTTTTTTTTCTTTGGGATTTGTGAAGTTAATTTGAACTTTCATAGTGTGTATTTGTTTGTCTATATATATTGCTTATCTTCACGTCTGTACTTGTATGCACGTGCAGATTATTGTGTATTGTCATTGTAGTATGTCTTTTATGTGTAGATGTTAGTGGATAAACCTATCATGTTGAGAATAATCTTCACGGATTTTACGGTTTGTAATTTTAGTTTCTAATTAATTGGTAAGGAAATACAAGGCATTTTTAAATTTAATTATGATCTTGTGATTAGCGGATATGAAAGCCGGTGGTGGTAATGATGGCGATGCTCTTAGTGATGATGGCAATTGTAAATATGTGGTGGCAGTGACAGTGGTGATGATATTAGTATGATGAGTTCATTGATGGGTTGTTCTGATTGGTAATTTTGACAATTGCATGGTTGTGGTGATGATGATTTTAAATGCATAATGTATTCCAAGCTCCTTTTTATGAAAAATTATGGGTTGTTTTTCTAAGAAGCTGTTGGTGGATGTAGCTCTACTGATTAAAGTACAAGCATATATATCAATTTCATAAACTTATTTCTTTATGGAATTTTATTGATTGTAGACTTATATCGAATCACGTGGTCACAATTTTAGTCTCACTGCAACATTCGATGAAATTGATTTTGGCAAATATGATGGGCTGGTGATACCAGGAGGACGGGCTCCAGAATATCTTGCCGTGAATGAATCTGTGTTAGATTGTGTGAGAAAATTTTCCAACTCAGGAAAGCCAATTGCCTCTATTTGCCATGGACAATTGATCTTGGCGGCTGCAGGTTCAGTAAAAGGTCGGAAATGCACTGCATACCCTCCTGTGAAACCTACGCTCATTGATGCTGGCGCTCATTGGGTTGAACCTGAAACTATGAAAGCTTGCGTTGCTGATGGCAATATCATCACTGGAGCTACATATGAGGGACATCCTGAGTTCATCCAGTTATTTGTGAAGGCACTAGGAGGCAAGATAACTGGTTCAGATAAAAAGATTTTGTTTCTCTGTGGGGTAAGTTCTAATTTTTTATTTTTTGTCATTTACTAAGGTCAAGCTTATGAAATGTGTAGTCTTATGGTTACTAAGAATCCTTGCTTATTTTGTTCTTCCTTGCAGGATTTCATGGAAGATTATGAGGTAACTGTTCCTTTTCAGGCCCTTGAAGCCCTTGGGTGCCGCGTTGATGCAGTTTGCCCCAAGAAGAAGGCTGGGGACACCTGCCCAACTGCAGTCCATGATTTTGAAGGTGACCAAACTTACAGTGAGAAGCCTGGTCATAATTTCACTCTTACAGCCAGCTATGAAGGTTTGGATGCCTCAAGTTATGATGCTCTTGTTGTTCCTGGAGGCCGCTCACCAGAATATTTGGCACTGGATGAAACAGTGACTGCCTTGGTGAAAGAATTCATGCACTCTAAGAAGCCTGTGGCGTCTATCTGCCATGGGCAGCAGATCTTAGCCGCTGCTGGAGTTCTTAAGGTAGGTTCCTGTTGTCTTGTGAGGAATATTATGTTTTTTATTTGTTGCTAGATTCAATGGACATTCAGGGAGACATGGAAATGCTTAAAACTTAGTTTTACCATACGCCTTTTATCATTTCAAATTATACTTCTGCACTTTCCTGTTAAAACTTTTAACTTGGAATGCCTTGTTTATTAGATTTAACTCTGTAGAAATCTGTATGCAACTGAACAAGGCTTATACAATTAAATGAGAACCACCTCTGTAATCATATTTAAAGTTCCATGAGAATTGCTTTTGAGGGCATTTTGATCTTTTTTATCTAAAACATGGTTCTCTTTGATTGTTCGTAGAATTACGAATATTAAGCTATCACATTTAACATGCCTTATAATCTTTATACAAATCATCTTGGCAGGGAAGAAAATGCACTGCATACCCCGCGGTCAAGCTGAATGTTGTCTTGGGAGGGGGAACATGGCTAGAACCTGATCCAATTAGTCGTTGCTACACTGATGAAAACTTGGTTACAGGAGCTGCTTGGCCAGGGCACCCCGAGTTCATCTCTCAGTTGATGGCCTTTCTCGGTATCCGGGTGTCATTTTAGTTTCTATCATGTTAATTATTGCGTGCTTGTATATTATCATGTTAATTACTGTGCTTGTATCTTATATCAAATAACACACAGATGCAGAATCCATGTTTGGGTCTAGAAATCCATCTTGTATCAAATAACACATGGATTCTGTATTTGAGTCTAGACATCCTTGTCATTAGTATGCAGTTTTGCCTGTGGTGAAAATAAAAATTACTTTTGAAAATGAATGATGAGCTATGAATGGGATGCTTGGATTGATTCACATGTTACTTGATTTTAGAGGTTCTGGAATTTTTGCTGTACGCTTAGCATTCTAACTCTTCATTTTAGATTTAGTTTGGATACACAAGGAATTCGGAAGACATATTGGTTATTTTATTGGCAGTCAGTAGAATAAATATGCCTTTTGATGATTTACGATTTGAAAAGCAGATGATTTTTTGTTACAATGTGAATGACGTTAGACACAAAGATCAGGTGTGTACAGGCATTCTGTGGAGAGAAGTTTTCATCAGTGTATGAGTTTATTTTATTTAAATAAATTCGTTATGTAGAGATAGGTTATTTATATGATCGATCGTAAATTGGTTATGTATTTATCCATAATGATCCAATTGTATTATGATGTTTTACGAAATAAATTATAGCTGAATGTCTTTAAAGTATACTGAAATATTAACAATTCAAGAAGCAAGTCAAGAATCCTTTTGGATAAAATCACCCGTAAGATATATACAGTTTATCCACTAGTAAAAAAATTTTAACAATATTATATAAAAACAATGCTATTTTGATAATTCAATTAAAAAAATATATGAAATATGACGAAGCAAAATATGTCTCCAAAACCATTCTAGTGACATTAACGTTCAATAAATTCGATTAAATGATAGTCCGACGGATTTATTTACTAATATATATCAATCATAATTTTTGAAAAAATAGTTTGTAACATTAAAATACGTAATTTTAAAAATTTTAAATAATATTTTTAAAAGAGTGAGATCAACTTAGATATTAATGTGTATAAAAAATAATGTTTTTTTTTTCTTTCACTTGAATTTGTTTTAATAAAGTTTTAAACAAGCATGTTATTTATAGCATGATAAAGAATGTTATGAAATAATGAATGCCTATAATCAATATATATAATTATTTTTATTCTCCATGACTATTGATATTTTAATTCACTATTTATGAGAGATTGAATGTAAAGTTCACCTATAAATAGGTATATTCAGTGAAAAAATAACATAATTTAATTTACTTTTTTTATTATTATTTTTTCCAGCTCTATTATTACTTCTCTTTCACCTGTTTTTTCAATTTTTTTTTTTAATTATTGTTATCGTTACTTTTATCAAAGACAATCCACTTTGGACCTGTCCGTGATGAGCATCATGACAAGACAGCACATGGACCAGCAATGCAAGCAGCTTTTTTTTTCAAAAAAAAAAGGAAGCAAACATCATATTTTTCTTCGAAATGGTCATCACTATAAAGTCAGCAACTCCACAAAAAAGCGAAACACAGTACTAAACTGTAAGAAAGAACTCAACTCAAGCTTAACTTTCAGCCTCAAGAATGGGAAAGAGTGTTTTACAGCTATGTGGTGATTACATGGAAGATTCTGAGGTGGGCTGCTTTTCTTTTTATCTACATTTCAATTTTTGAAATGTTTCTTGAATCATGGGTTTTGTTTTTTTAATTTTTTTCTTCTTTTTTTTTTGGTAGGCAATGGTTCCATTTCAAGCTTTGCAGGCTTATGGGATTGCTGTTGATGCTGCTTGTCCTGGCAAGAAAGCTGGTGATGTTTGCCGCACTGCAATTCATGACTCTGCTGGTTATCAGGTCCTCTCTCCCTCATTATATACATTTAATAATATTATTATGTCCATTTTTTGCTGTTTTAAAGAAAAGCCTATTAATTTGTTGCTCTTACTTAGTTCGCTCATCAAAGCTTTAGTTTTGGAATTTTTGCAATAATTTGTGAATATAAGAAAAGGGACTCCTTTTTTTATTTATTTGTAAAGTTAATTTGAACTTATTCATAATATTTATTTGTTTGTCTCCTTATTTTGCTTGGCTTCACTTCTGTACTTGTATGAATGTGCAGATTATCGTGTATTGTCATTTTGCAGATTATTGTGTATTGTCATTGCAGTATGTCTTCTATATGTATGTTAGTGGATAAAACCTATGATGCTGAGACTAATCTTCATGGATTTTACGGTTTGAAATTTTGGTTTTTGATTAATTGTAGTATGATATTGTGATAATGGCTATGAATGCCAGTGGTAGTAGTGGCGGTGGTAATGATGGTGATGCTCTTAGTGACAATGGAGATTGTAAATGTGGTGGCGATGATATTAGTATGGATGATTTCATTGATGGGGATGGGTTGTGCTAATTGCTATTTCTGACAGTTACATAGTTGTGGTGATGATAATGTGTTCACCAAGCTCGTTTTTTATAAAAAATTATGTGTGCTTCCCACCCAAAAACACCACCCCACCACCCACCCCCCCCTCCCGCCCGGCGCTAATAAGCTGTTGCTGAATGTAGCTCTACTGATTCATTATTATATATCAATTTCATAAACTTATTTCTGATAGGTATTTTTTTGGAACTTTATTGATTACAGACTTATACCGAGTCACATGGTCACAATTTTAGTCTCAATGCAACGTTCGATGAAATTGATTTTGGCAAATATGATGGGCTGTCGATACCTGGAGGACGGTCTCCGGAATATCTTGCCATGAATGAATCTGTGTTAGATTGTGTGAGAAAATTTTCCAACTCGGGAAAGCCAATTGCCTCTCACTGCTATGGCCAATTGATCCTGGCAGCTGCAGGTTTAGTAAAAGGTTGCAAATGCACTTCATACCCTCCTGTGAAACCTACACTCATCGATGCTGGTGCTCATTGGGTTGAACCTGAAACTATGAAAGCTTGCGTTGCTGATGGCAATATCATCACTGGAGCTACATATGAGGGGAATCCTGAGTTCATCCAGCTATTTGTGAAGGCACTAGGAGGCAAGATAACTGGTTCAGATAAAAAGATTTTGTTTCTCTGTGGGGTAAATTCTAATTTTTTGTTTTTCGGTTTTTTCCTTTTTGCCATTGACTAAGATCAAGCTTTTGAAACATGTGTGGTCTTATGCTTACTAAGAATGCTTGTTTCTTTTGTTCTTGCTTGCAGGATTTCATGGAAGATTATGAGATAACTGTTCCTTTTCAGGCCCTTGAAGCTCTTGAGTGCCGTGTTGATGCAGTTTGCCCCAAGAAGAAGGCCGGGGACACCTGCCCAACTGCTGTCCATGATTTTGAAGGTGACCAAACTTACAGCGAGAAGCCTGGTCATAATTTCACTCTTACAGCCAGCTATGAAGGTTTGGATGCCTCAAGTTATGATGCTCTTGTCATTCCTGGAGGCCGGGCTCCAGAATATTTGGCACTGGATGAAACAATGATTGCCTTGGTGAAAGAATTCATGCACTCCAAGAAGCCTGTGGCGTCTATCTGCCATGGGCAGCAGATCTTAGCTGCGGCTGGAGTTCTTAAGGTAGTTTCCTGTTGTCTTGTGAGGAGTGAGTTCTTAAGGTAGTTTCCTGTTGTCTTGTGAGGAGTATTATGTATTTCCATCACATAACACACCTGCAATATGTGCAAATATCATCTAATCAACTGTTGTGTGCACATGTTTTTTATTTATTACAAGAAAAACTGTCATCATTGAACATCCAGGGAGACATGGAAATGTTTATAGTTTTATCATGTGTTTTTTAACATTTTAAATTCTACTTCTATCCTGTCCTGTTAAAACTTTAACTCGGAGTAGGTGCCTTTTTAATTAGATTTAACTCTGTAGAAATCTATCTGCAACTGATCGAGGCTTGTATTATTTAATGAGAAATCCAACCACCTCCTTGATCATATTTAAAGTTCCATGAGAATTACTCTTAAGGGCATTTTGATCTTCTTTATCTGAAACATGGCTCTCTTTGATTGTTCGTAGAATCACAAATATTAAGCTATCATATCTGACATACTTTATAATCTTTATACAAATCATCTTGGCAGGGAAGAAAATGCACTGCATACCCGGCAGTCAAGCTGAATGTTGTCTTGGGAGGGGGAACGTGGCTAGAACCTGATCCAATTAGTCGTTGCTACACCGATGAGAACTTGTTACGGGAGCTGCTTGGCCAGGGCACCCTGAGTTCGTCTCTCAGCTGATGGCCTTACTTGATATCCGGGTGTCATTTTCGTTCCTATCATGTTAATTATTATGTGCTTGTATATTATCATGTTAATTATTGTGTTTGTATCTTATCTTGTTAATTATTGTGGTTGTATCTTATATCAAATAACACGCGGATGCTGACTCCATGTTTGGGTCTAGAAATCCTTCTTGTATCAAATAACACATTGATTCTATATTGGGTCTAGAAATCCTTGAAACTTGTATGCAGTTTTTCCTGTGGTGAAAATATAAATTACTTCGCAATTAAATGATAACCTATCAATGGGATGCTTGGATTTATTTACATGTGACTTGATTTTGGAGGATCTGGAATTTTTGCTGTACGCTTAGCATTCTAACTCATCATTTTAGTTTTAGTTTTGATACACAAAGAAAGCTGGAGACAAATTGGTTATTTTTATTGGCGGTCAGTAGAATAAATAAGCTTTTTTAATGATTTGTGATCTCAAGATATGAAAAGCAGATGATTTTTGGTTACGATGTGAATAATGTTAGACACAAAGATCAGGTCTTTTCATGCATTTTGTGGAGAGAAGTTGCAAAGTCACTTCAAAGATCATTCTGATCTAGATAATGAGTTGTGAAAAATATCATTAAAAATGATTCAGTATTAAAGTAGGATTGGAATGGAGTAAGAGGCGATTTAGTCCAACAATAACAAACCTCCCTTTTTTTATTTTTATTCCCTAGAATAGAATCTCCTTTTAGTCAACATTAACAAAGAGGGTTAAAGTCCAATACTGTTTTTCAAGAAACTCCATTGGAGAGAATAGCAATAAACAGGGCTAAAGCTTAAGTCTTATTGTTAGCATCAGCAATGACTAATTGCAAGCCACAGAAGAAAGTTTTATTGTTATGTGGGGATTACATGAAGATTATGAGGTTGGTTGATTTCGTTTTTATCTTTCTTTCTCATTTTAGAGTTCTTTTTCCCCTCTTGAAGTCTTCATTTCTGGGTTATGTTTGCAGGCAATGGTTCCATTTCAAGCCTTGCAGGCTTATGGAATAGCAGTTGATGCTGTCTGTCCTGGCAAGAAAGCTGGCGATTGTTGCTGCACCGCTGTTCAGGACTCTGGTGTCTATCCTGGCTATCAGGTCCGGTTTGATCTCTCTTATTTTATATATTAATTTGTTATTATATCCATTTTCTTGATTGTTAATGAGAATATTATTTATTTGGTAATACCAAGTATCCAAATTTATTTACTTGCTACTCTGACTTGGGTTCTTCACTCATTAGAGTTTCAGTTTTAGAAATTTCACAAAATTTTGTGAATATATGTGCAAAGGTTTAGCAATCAAACGTTATTTAGTTTCCTCTTTTTTCGCAAAGTTTTTTTTTTCCTTTTCTTTTTTGGATTGCCAAATTAATCTTTAGTATTCAAATTATGGATTTGTAGTAGTATGTGTATATATTGCTTTGTAACATTTCATCCATATTTTGTATGAATATGCAAATCATTGCCCGTGTTAGCCTTCCAATGTCTAGATCTTAGTAGACAAAACCAATGGTATTGAGGCAAATCATCACAGCTTTGAAGTTACTTGAAATTTAAGATTTTGATTATTCAGAAAGTGGAAAAAGGGTCAATTTTTTTTATTGATTGTTTGTCATGTGACATGGATTTTGGCTGTGGTAGTAGTGGTGGCAATGCTGGCTGTGATGGTGGTACCGTGGTAGAGGATGCAGTAGTGATCATCTTGGTGGTGGCAATGATGATTGCGGTTGTAGTGGCTGTGAATATGATGACGATATTGGTATGATGATTTCATGATGGGTTGTGCCGAGTGCTAATGTTTATATCATAGTTGTTGGATGATCATTTTACATGCATAATGTGTCATCAAACTCTCTTTTTTGATAAAAATTGTGTGTTGTTCTTAGAATAAGCTGTGAGTTATTGAATAAGCACATGCATATTATGTCCATTCATTTCCTTACTTCTGGTTTGTCATAGTGCATGTGTTTTTTGGTACTGTGCTGGCTGCAGACTTTTACTGAGAAGCGTGGCCACAACTTTAGTCTCAATGCGACTTTCGATGAAGTTGATTTTGGTGAATATGATGGGCTGGTTTTACCTGGAGGAAGGGCTCCAGAATATCTTGCCATGAGTGAATCTGTATAAGATTGTGTGGGGAAAATTTCTGAATCAGGAAAGCCAATTGCTTCTATTTGCCATGGACGGTTGATCTTGGCAGCTGCAGACTCAGTAAGGGATCGGAAGTGCACTTCATTGTGTGCTCTGGGACGTGTGCTCATTGATGCCGGTGCTCATTGGATTGAACCCAAAACCATGATGGATTGTGTTGCTGATGGCAATCTCATCACTGGAGTTATATATAAGGCGCATCCTGAGTACATCCAACTTTTTGTGAAGGCACTAGGAGGCAAGATAACTGGTTCAGATAAAAGGATTCTGTTTCTCTGTGGGTAAGTCCAAATATGGTAACTATTTTTCTCTGATTACTATAAGCGTGATAAAACATTTGTTTTTTATTGTTTACTAAGAATCCTTTCTCTTATTCCTGCTTGCAGGATTTCATGGAAGATTATGAGGCAACTGTTCCTCTTCAGTCCCTTCAAGCTCTTGGGTGCCATGTTGATGCAGTTTGCCCCAAGAAGAAGGCTGGGGATATCTGCCCAACTGCAATCCATGACTTTGAAGGTGGCCAAACTTACAGTGAGAAGCCAGGCCATAACTTCGTTCTTACAGCCAGCTATAAAGGTTTGGATGCCTCAAGTTACGATGCTCTCGTCATCCCTGGAGGCCGGGCTCCAGAATATTTGGCACTGGATGGGACAGTGATTACATTGGCGAAAGAATTCATGCACTCTAAGAAGCCCGTTGCATCTATCTGCCATGGGCAGCAGATCTTAGCTGCTGCTGGAGTTCTCAAGGTAGTTTCCTGTTGTCTTGTGAGGAATGTCATGTCTTTTCATCACATAACACACCTTCAAGATGTGCAAATGTCAACTAATTTTATTGTTGTGTGCTCATGTTTTTAATTTGTTTCTAGAAAAACTGCCATCATTGGACACTCGGGGAGACATGGAAATGCTTAAACATTGGTCTTGCCATGCATCCATTAACATTTAAAATTACTCCTGCCCTTTCTTGTTATAACTATAACTCGCCTAGGTGCCTTGTTTATTAGATTTTGTTAGAGAGTAATATAAATTATATTATGGAGCCTCACCTAACAGTTTAAGCTTTTAGGTGAGATAGTCCTTTAATATGGTATCGGGGCTTGATTGACCATGTGATCCCGAGTTCAAGTCTCACCATCTCCAGTTTCTCAAGTATTCAGCACAAGGCAATGTGGACCTGTGCAAGTTTCAAGCCCACATGTTGGGGCTTTCACTTGAGAGGGTGTGTTAGAGAGTAATATAAATTATATTGTAGGACCTCACCTAACAGTTTAAGCTTTTAGCTGAGATGGTCCTTTAATAGATTTAGCTCTGTAGAAATGCATATGCAACCGATCAAGGCTTATATTACTAAATGAGAAATCCAACCACCTCCATAATCATATTTAACGTTCTGTGAGAATTGCTTTCAGTGACCCTCTGATCTTCTCTATTTGAAACGTCGTTCTCTAATACGAATCATCTTTGCAGGGAAGAAAATGTAGTGCATACCCTGCGGTGAAGCTGAATGTTGTCTTGGGTGGGGCAACATGGCTAGAACCTGATCCAATAAATCGCTGCTATACCGATAAAAACTTGGTTACAGGAGTTGCTTGGCCAGGACACCCTGAGTTTGTCTCTCAGTTGATGGCCTTACTTGGAATCCGGGTGTCATTTTCGCTATGTTCATGTTAACTATGTGCTTGTATCTTGTATTAAATAACATGTGGATGTGGATGCAGATTCCATCTCGTATCTTGTTTGGGTCTAGAAATCCATCTTGTATCAATTAACACAGGTTCTATATTTGTGTTTAGAAACCTTTTTCACTTGTTCTCAGCCCTGTGGTGAAAATAGACTTTCATACTCTGCAAAGAAATGACTTTCCCGATTGAATGATGACCTATCAATGGGCTGCTGTGAATTGACCATGTGGTTCGGTTGTCAGGATCTGAATTTTGCTTTCGCTTGGCCTTCTACCTTATCATTTTCAGTTTACTTTTGATATAAAAAGAATGATCGAGACATGTTGGTTATTTTATTTGGCAGTTAGTACATGCATTTTCTGAAGAAAAGTTGACGATCACTTTAAAGATTATTATCTCGACAAGGAGTAGTTGGGCATCTTTACAGTTGAAAAATACATTAAAAATGGCTTCATATTAAAGAAAGACTGGAGTAGGTATTAATGCAATTTAGTCAACAACAACTATTCTTCCATTTCTTTTTCTTCATTAGACTTTGCATTCAGTCAACATTAACAAAGAAAGTTAAAGCACAATACGTTTCTCTTGCTGTTATGATCACTATAAAGCATGATACTCCATTGGAGAGATAATAGCAATAGACAGAGTCAAAGCTCAAGTTTTTTTGTTAGCATCTGCAATGGCTAATTGCATGCTACAGAAGAAAGTTCTGTTGTTATGTGGGGATTACATGGAAGATTATGAGGTGGGTTCCTTTCATTTTAATCTTTCTTTCTCATTTTGAAGGTCTTTTTTTTTTAAGTCTTTAATTGATGGGGTTTTTTTTTGTGTTTTTCAGGCTATGGTTCCATTTCAAGCCTTGCAGGCTTATGGAATAGCAGTTGATGCTGTCTGTCCTGGCAAGAAAGCTGGCGATTGTTGCCGCACCGCAGTTCAGGACTCTGGTTCCTATTATGGCTATCAGGTCTCCTCTGATCTCCCTCATTTTATTTATTAATTTGTTATTATATCCATATCTTGATTGTTAATGAAAATATTATTTGTTTGGCTATACCATGTATCCAAATAGTATGTCAGTTTCTAAATATTAGTGGACAAAACCCATGGTGTTGAGACTTGAGACAAATCGTCATGGTTTAGTGATGATTTGAAATCTAAGATTTTGAATTTTTTTTTTTTTCATAAAGTAATAAGAGGGTTTCTTTGATTATTTGTTTGTCTTAATGATATGGATGCTGAAGGTGGTGGTGGTAACGGTGGCAATGCTGGCTCTGATGTTAGTAGAGGATGTAGTGATGATCTTAGTGGTGATAGACTGATAGTGATTGTGGCCGTGGTGGTAGCAAACGGTGCTAATGATTTCATGATGAGTTTTTCCCAGTGCTAATATTGATTCATTTTACATACAAAATGAGTCCATTGAGCTCCCCTTTTGATAAAAACTGTGTTCTGATGAACTTGGTGGGTGTAGCCTAAAGGATCAAATAAAGTAGATGCATAATATGGTCATTATTTCCTCAGTTCTGATATGTGGTTTGGGAACTTTACCTACTGCAGCATTATACAGAGAAGCGTGGACACAACTTTAGTCTCAATGCGACTTTCGACGAAATTGATTTTGACAAATATGATGGCCTGGCAATACCTGGAGGAAGGGCTCCTGAATATCTTGCCATGAATGAATCTGTGTTAGATTGTGTAAGGAAATTTTCAGACTCGGGAAAGCCAATTGCTGCTATTTGCCATGCACAGTTGATCTTGGCAGCTGCAGGCTTATTAAAAGGTCGGAAATGCACTGCATACCGTGCTCTTGGACCTGTGCTCATCGATGCCGGTGCTCATTGGATTGAACCCAAAACCATGATGGATTGTGTTGTTGATGGCAATCTCATCACTGGAGTTATATATAAGGCACATCCTGAGTACATCCGGCGTTTTGTTAAGGCACTAGGAGGCAAGATAACTGGTTCAGATAAAAGGATTCTGTTCCTCTGTGGGGTAAGTTCAAATACAGTAACTATTTGTCTCTGATTACTATCAAGCTTGATGAAACATTTGTTTTCTCCTGTTTACTAAGAATCTTTTCATCGTTTACTTGCAGGATTTCATGGAAGATTATGAGGTAACTATCCCTCTCCAGTCCCTTCAAGCTCTTGGGTGCCACGTTGATGCAGTTTGCCCCAACAAGAAGGCTGGGGATTTCTGCCCAACTGCAGTCCATGACTTTGAAGGTGACCAAACTTACAGTGAGAAGCCAGGCCATAACTTCATTCTAACAGCTTCCTACAAAGGTTTGGATGCCTCGAGTTACGATGCTCTTGTCATCCCTGGAGGCCGGTCTCCTGAATATTTGGCACTGGATCAGACGGTGATTGCATTGGTGAAAGAATTCATGCAATCAAAGAAGCCAGTGGCATCTATTTGTCATGGACAGCAGATCTTAGCTGCTGCCGGAGTTCTTAAGGTAGTGTCCAATATTTTCTTTCATTTTTCATAGAATAACACAAGTTATTTTCTTCACACTTGCCATGCCTTGTATATGTGAATCATCTTGCTGCAGGGAAGAAAATGTACTGCATACCCTGCTGTGAAGCTACATGTTGTTTTGGGAGGGGCAACATGGCTGGAACCGGATCCAATCGATCGTTGCTACACCGATGAAAACTTGGTTACCGGAGCTGCTTGGCCAGGCCACCCTCAGTTTGTGTCACAGTTGATGGCCTTACTTGGTATCCGGGTGTCATTCTAGCTGTTCTGTTGTAATATGTATCAAATTACACCAGAATGGGAACTCTCTGTTTGGGTCTAGAATCTGGAAAACAACTAATTTGATGAGAATTTGATCAGCGGATGTAATTTGGCAAATAACCCTGATTTGTTCTCTCCAAGTTGATGATCTTTCTTGGTATCCAAGTCTCATTCTAGTGGTTCCTATGGCATCAATATCCATATATGATGATGCTTTTCTTCATGGAAAGTAAAAGTTGTGGGAGAAAGTCAGGCTTATATGTTTTGTTGTTGTAACTTTTGATTTTAGTCGATTTCGTCAAAACACGTGAAAGTAAAAGGAAATAAAAAGTAAAAGTTGTGGAAGAAAGTCAAGATTATATGTTTTTTTGTTTTAACTTTTAGTTTTAGTTAATTTCGTCAAAACATTTGATTTACGTGAAATTACCAAGTCAATATCCATTATATTTTAATATTAGTAGAATTCATTAAAATTTTTTGAAAATACATGTACTTAAATAAAATAATAATAAAAATACATACATTCAAATAGAAAAAAATAAATAAAAACATCCATATTTAATTAAAAATAAAATAAAATACTCATGTTATAGACATTTCATCATACTTGATGTGTCAATTTAACTGGATATATCGATCAGTATGAATCTAACAAACAAAAACACTTATTAGAAAAACAATTAAAAATTCATGCAATTGAATGAATAATCTTTCTTTTTTATCACTCAAGTCAATTTTATTCAAATTAATTTCCTTTTTCTTTTTCTCTATTTTTCCCTCCCTCTCTCATTTAGATTCTTCTTTTTTCTTTTTTTTCTTTTAATATAATTTAAACATGGTTCACTTCATTTTTAATTTTTATATCAATTCTTTTTTATTATTATTATTATTGTCAAAAAAAAAATCCATTTTCTTTTTCAAGGGTAAGTTATATTTAGCTCCTGTAAATTCGGCACTTCGGTTCCTGTACAGTTTCTCAATATTATCCCTATAGTTTGGAAAACGTTTCAGTATGACCCTTATAGGCTTATGGCCAAGGGAAACCAACCAAATTGCACACTTTTCTTCTTTTCTTTCGCCTTTTTTTTTTCCTTGTAAATTATAAATTAGTCTCTTTATTTTTTAAAAAAAATTAATTCATCTTTATTTTTTTCAAAACTAATTGTTTAATCCTTACAATGTTATTCCCACCCTTCAAAGAAGCAGGCAGCAGGGAAAAGGGATGAATTGACTTGAAAACAATCCCTGTTGAATGAGAATTTGATCACAATTGGGTCAATAACCCTGATTTGATCTCTACGAGACTGGAATCTGATCGCCGATTGCGATTCTAGGAACATTCTAGGGTTCCTATCTCACCGGTGAGCAAACAGAAAGCGTTTACCGGAAAACATGCAAATAGAGACTCAGTGTTGAAGATAATATAACAGAAAGCAGAGTAATGTATTTAGGTTTTGCAACTAAAATGAAATATCCATTGCCGAAAAACTAAAATGAAAAATCAGCATATTACATATGCATCTTAAGTTTAGCAACAGAGACACAGAGAATGATGCACAATTTAACCTTTGGACAAATGGCATGAAATCTTGTTCAGATGTCTCTAATCCAATCATTTCACATCCTTGAGATTTGGAAAGGCTCATGAATTTCACCTCTAGAAGGGACTAGCTGGAGCTTATCAAAGTAGCCAAGTCTCTCTAATATGTGTCTTCGACAGTTCTCGGCAGCCATAATTCCTGCAGAGTATGCTCCGTGAACGGATCCTTGATGGTTCTCCATGCTGACTGCTTCTCCTCCAAAGAAGAGGTTGCCCAGGGGTGTGCGGAGTCTCTCGTATGAATCTTCAGGCTTCCCAACAAGATCGTAAGAGTAACAACCAAGTGAGTTCGGATCCGTCCCCCACCGTGTTACAAGATATTTAACCTGTTCCAGCAGAGCCAATGATGTTAGTTTAAAACTTTCGACATGAGAACCAAATTGAGAAAATTTTCAAGAAACTAGATAATAAGGGCAGTGCAAAGACAAAACAAATTTACCGGCTCTGTTGCATTAGGAAACATTTTCTTCAGCTGCAACATCACAAATTCTGCAGCAGACTCATCAGATAGCTTCTCAAGATCATAAGCAAACCTTCCAGCAGCCATGTAAACAAGAACAGGATGGCCAGTTGCCTTGTGAAGATTTAGAAAATAACCACAAGCATAAGACGTAGGTGCAACAATGCCCAAGAGTTCAACATCTGGCCAAAATACTTTATCAAATTGCATTGCAATCTTGTTTTCACTGCCGAAACCAAGATCTGAAATTGCATCAACCTTCCACTGTGGCAACTTTGGCTCAAAATGAATTAAGTTGGCTTTAAGAATCCCAAGGGGTACTGTGATGATAGCTGCATCAGCAATAAAGCCTGTCCCATCCTCTACTGTGACCATCACCTTATTAGGCCAGTTGGATATTTTTTTAACCCTACTCGTCACATTTCATTAAAGAAGGAAAATCATTAACTTCAGGAAGCACAACAGTACTTTTTTTTGTTCAGAAAACAAGAATACATTCAAAAAAATTAAGAAATTAGCAAGCATACCTATGATTCAAGCGTATATCAATATCTTTTGCAAGAGCCTTTATTATAGGGTCATAACCTTGCACCATAAGACCATGACCACCGGAAAGAACTTGCTCCTACAAGTCAAGGAATGTCCTCAACAATGTCAGCATTCATCTAAAGATACTCTCAAAGTGACCTTAACAGAGGTATAGCATTTTGCAATATACAAGGAGGAGAAACCATACTACATTCCAAGGAAAGCAAACTAATTCTGCAACTTTAAGATTCTTGAAAAATAACATTCACTAATTCCTCTGCTGCTGCTATCTATAAGCAAATAATTTTCTGAATCTAAAGTCAAAATAACGGCAATCAACTTTCTTTCAAGTCCATTTTATAAAGGCAAAGCTTTTATATATATATATATATATTGTGTACAAAAAAGTATGCATTGAAGCAGAATCATCCTCACACATGCAGAAGATCAAATAGTCCACTTGCCTGATCCCAAGATTTCAGTGATATCATATCTGCATCTGCTGCAAACCACGCTTCCAATCTACAGATGTACCATTGAAGCACTTCATGTGCAAGCCCCCTTGCCTACAGACAATGAAAGTTTTATTCGTAACTCCCAAAACTCCATGCTGGAAAAATTCAAAAGTTGTATTTGTTGCACATTGTTCTTTTTCGCATACCTTAATTCCGGATGCCTATCTAGAACAATAAAAATTGCTTGACGAACAGACATGTCATGAGTGTTTTCATCTCTTACTTTCTCCGTCTAAAGGTGCAAACAAAGGACTTAGTTTGCATGCTGTAAAAGAGGGGAATTTTTAATCATAAAATCGCATAATTTAGAATGAAGATCCTACCTCCTTGAGAATTCTTTTGAATGTATCTCCAACTTCAATAACCATCTGTTGTGGAACTTGATGTCCTTCCTTGTCGAAAAGGGTATAACTGAAAGGGAAAAACCCAAATCCTCATGACAAAAGTTTGGACTAAATTCATGAGAACCACAATAGTGACTCATAATGTTCTAAAATGATGCAAATTTAATCCATGCAAAACAGAATTAGTTTGTTCTACCAAATTATGTGTAGGACTATAGCCTAGTGATTGGTTCATAATTCAATTTAAAACACGTGCAACTTTATTCATTGTAAAAAGAAGTTAGCCAATATTTGCATCTCTTGTGTTCTGAAAGATACAGCAAACAGCATTGGTCAAGAAAGTTCAAGGCTAAAATGGAAACGTACAATACTGGATGCAATTGGCTCCATGAAGCAAGCAAGAACTAGAATATGAAAAATCTATGTAAAATTTGAAATACACAATTGAACTAAAAACATCATTTATAAACTTAAAAAGGCAACTGAAAAAAAAAGGTCTGCTTAGTGCAAACCCTGAAGTGAATTGGAGAGAATATAAATGCAAAACTGGCAAATGACTGACCTCTCTAGATCATGGTCATACAACACAGAGTTGTCACCACTAGTACGGTATAATTTTAGCCCCAGACCTCGTATCAGTGGAGCCAAGGGATTCTCATTGCAAACACCATGCAGCCTGGAAGGCAACATGAAAAAAGAATTAACACATGGAGGAATCTATCTATGCATTGCTTCACGTTTACAAACAATCAAATCAGGGTAACCCAGCACATATTACAGGCAATGGGAAATAGAGGTTAAAGAATCAAATGGCACGAGCAAGAACAGAGATGAGATCTATTCGTGATCTCCATGAGAAACTAATTGGGTTTTCAAGACACAATTAATGAGCATTAACATCCCCAACAAACAAAAATATGGATCAACCTTGCCTATGTCAGCTCATTGAGAGTCAATTCATTCCCAAACACATGGCCTTCACACTACGATTATTATGAGTCAAAATCTAAAATGAGTGGATATTGGGCAGAATATTAAGCAAGAGAAGAGGTAAACATAAATGAGGAAAGGGTTCCAATAAAATCAAATATGACTGAGAAAGAAAAATACCATGATGCCCCCAAATCCACCGGATAGCCAAATGAATAGTCCGTATGAATGCGGCCACCAAGTCTATCACGCGATTCCAGCAAGATCACCTTAAAGAATAGAACAACTATTAGTGAATTGCTGCATATGAATACACATATTCTAACATACATAAAAACTATATGCATATATACATTTTGACAGTATGCTAACCTTAAAAGATGCATCATGGAGTATTCGCGCAGCAGCTAGTCCTGAAATACCACCACCAATCACGATGACAGTAGGAAGTGAACTGTTTTGCCTCTCAACTTGTGAAATGAAAGTGCCTGCCCATTAGTTGCACACAAATCAGCAAATGAAAAACGATTTCAATTCAAAATATATGTATTCATCAAAGAGTAAGAAATCAAGCCTGAAGAGACATTGAGTACATTTGATATCACGTGATTTTGTCTTATCAGTTGACGTCTTACACATGGAAAATACGTGTCAAGTGAAAACTATTTCAATTCATAATTCTCTATAGATTTTAATTCCACCTTTCCTTTCAGTAAGAGTTAAAATACTTCCTGTTATTGATTTTCACAAAATATTCATCTTACCAAAGGAATTTAAAGAAAAAACTTTGAACATTACTTACAGCAATTTTGCCAAATATACTCAATACAACTCAAAGAATCTTGTCAGGCAAAATACAACACTACTTCTCGATTATGGTATGCCCAAAGTCGTTTATAAATCATACTACTGCCCTCCTATTCAAGTTTAATTCCCTCCCTCTCCATGCATGCACATCCACTTGCAAAATACATAACAAGAAAACAAATAAATCCTACTAGTAAACTACAAATACAAGGATTTCATCTAGCAACCCCCACCATAGATAGCCTAACCAAATAATCATAACCTATACAACATTTGTTCATAATCCATATATTTCTTAGCAATTTAAACTCAAATTAACAATTTCCCCTTCTAACCTAAGTTTACAGGATGTAAAAATAAATCAATAGAGTAAAACCCCAAAACATTTTTTTATAGAGAACAACGTATTGGAGGCTTTGTGGTGTTATAGACTACAATACATCATATACGACACATATCGACTACCACATCAACATGGTTGCCAAGTCAACAACTTTATATGACATGACCATAGCAGCTTCCTTGATATGATATGCATTCTATAATAATAGAGATGAGCATGAAAACAAGGTAAACTGAGAAAGTCGACAGCTTGGGTGGTCCTGTCAACAGCCATGACACCAAAATGGTCGTCGACAAATATCTTATGCCAATTGAGAAGGGAAAAAAAAACACCTTCCCCATATTATTTTCTAATCGTCTGTTGATTTTTCAATTGGAATCATTTTCCCATCAAATAATCTATTAATTTTAACTCAAATTAACTCCCTGCTGTTACAACCACGCATAAGTCACATCAAACAAGCAACAAAAATTAATTACTACAATAAAAGCACCACCTTTTCAGCCAAGCAAATCACAATACACAAGCAGAAGGGCAAAAATTAATAAATAAATAACTAACAAAATATATTCTATCTTTTCAGCCAAGCAAATCACTATACACAAGAAACGAGAAAAGCACAGAATATACTAACCCTTGTCAATCAGATTCTCCATTATTGACGCAAACGGATTATCGGAAAACACAGAATCAGCCAAATCAACGAAATATTCTTAAGAAAACAAAACCTAATCTCTCGCGATCTTTTTTTTTTTTTTCAAAAAAGAGGAAAGAAAAAAAAAAAAAAGACGATCCGTTCACTGGTGTATAGGAACAGGAAAATTAGAGATTAATTGTGAAGAATGATAAAGAATATAAAGCAAAATTCCAGCAATAAAGTGACCAAAAAGACTACTCAATGACGAAGAAGAAGAGCAATGTAGTTGCTGCTTCTGCTGTTGTTTACGATTTAGACAGCTCATAAGGAGAAACTTTGTAAAATCCTCTCAGAATGTTTCCTTCTTTTTCAAAAATTTTATTCAAAACTAAAAATTGAGATTTGAGAAACCACCACGGTTGCATAGATCGGTCGATGAATTGATAGAATTTTGATCAAAATGTCAACCGATCGATCGATCTATCAATGCGGAGAGGATAGGAGGAAGACTTGAATTTTTTGTGGTTTTTTCAGGTTCTCTGGTGCAAGCGAAAATATCTGTAGTGGTTGGTGTCGTTTTATAGGTTTTTTTTCAAGAAAAAAAAATATTTTATCTGGTTTTGTGGTGATGAGCAAATTGTTTACGGCTTTTAGGCCGGTATCGCGGAGCGAAGGTTCCCTTTTTTTTTTCTTTTCTTTTTTTTTTCTTTTTTTGGCTGTATTTTGGGTGGTTGTTCTTGTCCTTACGCGACGCACTGGGTTTTGCTTGCTAGGAAATATCTGGCCACTGGCTGGCTCGTAGAGACTAAGGTGCGTTTGGCAAGTCTGTGTTTGTATTCAAATTGATGTTTTTTTTTTTTTTAATTGGTTTGGATAGTTTGAGCAGAGGTGATGGTCCGTTTTTCGGTTCTGTTTTTAATAATTTTAGTTTGATTTTTCGTTAATTTAATCTTAAAAAATAAAATCAAAGTTGAACCAAATTATTATTTGGTTTTTCAATTTTTTGTTTTGGTTTAAATTAAATTGTTTTTCTGAAATTTTTTAAATAATATAAATAAACTAAAAAGACCATTGACCCATCATATATTTATAATAATATTAAGATATTGATTTATTATTATTTTAAAACTTAAAAAAAAATTGAAAATTTTTTTAAAGAAATTCTATTTTTGGTTTAAACCAAACCAAAATTCCAAAATCGGATCTAATTGAAAAACCGAAACAAATCTATTTAATTGTTTTTTTAAGTTTTTAAGTTAAAAACCAAAGCAAAATTAATATTTCAGATCGGTTTGATTTTCGATTTAACAATCACCTCTAATTTTGGTATTGATACGCTAACATCAAAAATATTAAAAATAATATTTTTTTTCAATCCAAAAACATTTTTGTAAAAACACAGATATCGTATTAGCAAAGACATAATAAATTTACCATTGAAATCAATCCAATTTGATGGAAAGGAAATTAAAAAAAAGAATCTAACTTAATGTATTTTCTTTTATCGGGAGGATGGCAATTGAAAGGTGTTTTTCTTGTTTTTTGTTTTTTTCTTAATATAGCTTAATTTTTTCTAAAGCAATCGTCTATAATGTTTTTTTTTCTGAATAGTGGTGTTATTTATCACATAAAAGTTTCTAAATAAAATAAAGAATGCAATTGTTATAGAAAAAAAAAAGATTTACCCCATAATTGATCGTTATATGATTTCAATTTTTTTTATTAAAACCTTTTATTAACTTTTAGCTTGATTGAGATTCTCTTCCTTATAATTTTGATAATTTTAATGACTGAAACTCTCTATTAATTATTTATTAGACGTAATAAATTAATATTAACAATAACTAATCATAAATAGACATGTAGCATAATGGTCCTACGTAACAATGTTTGCATAAAAAAAAATTAAAAAATTAATTTTTTTATTATTAAACTAATATTTAGTATTTAAGAAATATTGGCAAAGAGGTGTAGATATATATAATTTCCATATATAAAATTTGGCAGGATAACGTAAATTAATGGTCAAACTACAAGAATTGCAATCTTTCGGCAATTCCATTCCAAACAATCTATTGACTAACTTCAAACTAAAACACTACCACTTGAAAGTGGAAACTCGAAGCTTCTTCCCACTTGGTTTTTCTTTTTCTTTTTTTTTCTTTTTTTATGGTCCTCCATTTTAATTAAAAGTAGGTAACACGACTGGTTCTGTGGTTCATGTATGGAGTAAATTATAAATCAGTCCCTCTAGTTTTAAGAAATGATTAATTAATCTTTTTTCTTTCAAAATTAATAATATAATCATTTATCCAGCATTAATTATGTTTGATTTAATATTACTTTGCTTAAAAAAATATTTTTTTCTCATCAATCATTATATGATATCTATCTATTTTTTTAAACAAAAAAATAAATTAAATTAAAAAATAACATAGACGAAAATAACTAAATGATTATTTTTTTGAGAGAAAAAAATTCATTCATTCATTTGTAAAACTAAAAGGATTAATTTATAATTTACTTTCATGTTGGTGTAATGCTCTTCTTGCTGGTATTATTGTTATTATTTTAATGACTAAATTATAAATTAGCCTCTCGTTTAGAGAAACAAATTGATCAGTCATTTAAAAAAAAACTAATAATTTAGTTTTTCATGTTTTAATTTCATTAATAACTTAGTCATTTCATTAGTTTTTTGATAGAGTGGTAATTTTTATTCTCAAATTATCATTCTTTTGATTATTGATTAAGGAGAGAGATATACAGTCGGTGAATGAGAAAAATAAAATATCAAAAAAGAACAATTTAAAAAAATCATTAATCCAATAAAAAATTAAATTATTGACGAAATTAAAACTAAATTGTTAGTTTTTTAAAAAAAGAGTATGATTAATTTGTTTTTCGAAACAAGAAGGACTGGTTTATAATTTGCTTGGTTAGAATTCAGAAAAATATCTAGCTCGACCTGGCTCAAAAAACTTACTCCAATTTCACGTGTTTCATGAGGAAGGAAATTTGGCTCAATCTATGGGATGGATATGCATTTCAATGTTACTCCAAGTAGCATGAGTTCCACTTTTGTGGACATGGATGGTTTGGGTTTGTTTCTTGTCTCCGGCCATACGTTGAGCATGACTAGTTAAAAACGACATTGTTTTATTACTATTATTATTTTTATTATCCTTAAATTATAAAATAATTATAAATTTGTATTGCATAACGATGGAAATGTGGTTTTTTTCCCCTTAAAGTGAGAGTGATTGTATATTTAGATATAAAAATTACAATTATATTATTTTACTAATTTTATCCGGTAATAAGAAAGGGTTATTTTCGAATTCGTGAAGAAAGTAAAATTTATAATGAGTTACGTTAAATTTTATGTATGTATTCTTTATTCATTTTTATTATTTTTCATTCCATTGAATTTAATTGTTTGTGGTGTTGATTTGTTAATCTCAATCCGAAAATTTCCTAGCACATATAACTATGCTAAAAATATATTTATAAAGTGAAAATCCAGCCCCGATTAACTAATGAATTTTTTCTTAAAAAAAATAATATTTGAATACTCACAGAGATATATGACAGCGATTGTGCATTTTAATTTTATAAATTCATGCAATATGTAAGAAATTACAATATAGAGATGCAATAACTAAATTAGCTTATTTGATGGATTTCCTTCTTTTTTCCTAAACAATGGATTTAATTGTTCTAGGTAACGTTCTATTGATAGAGATATGACATATCTTTATTAAAACTATCCCATCTCTCAAGCAAGGTTTGATTAGAACAATCACATTATGATAATATCACAGCATTTTTCACGAGTTACTAATAAATAATTCTATCTATTTGTTTTCAAGAAATGTATTAACAGTTTCTTTTTTTCAAAAATTAATTATTTAGTGCTTAATTTAAGTGTAATTAATACTTATATAAATGATAAATAACTTTTTTTATAAAGAATGCAACAGTTTTTTAGCTGCTTAAAATAATATAACTCTTGTAACAAATGTATTTTAACATATCATATTAAACGATGCATTAAATATTTTATTGTTATTTAATAATAATAAGTATAATATTTTATATTTTATTAAAATTGATCAATTCAGTCTATCGTGGTAATAAGATCTCCTTCTCCTTCTTAACCGACTGCTAATTATTACTGTTAACCTCTCAGATTGTCTAATCAATAATTGTGGGTTGCAGGTTTAAGCAAACAGACCGTATCACATGCAATTAGCTACTGCCAACCCTCGATTACCTAACCAATTAATTGACTTGAAAAGTCAAATGGGATTAGAATATAATCGGGATTAAGTTTTTGTTTCCCTTCAATCATATGGTTGGTTTATTCAGGTAAAGTGCTCTTCTTGCTGGTATTGTTTTTATTTAATGAAATATATGGGCCATGTTGATGGTGAGCGAGGGTTGATAAGAAGGCAGCTCAGCCACCATCCATTATTCAAGCACTTAATGGAGACGAAGACGTGACGTTTTCAAGGCGTGGTGGCAGTCAATGAAATGCTTCCCCACAGGAGCAGAATGATGCAAAACAGAAGAGGACGAGGAGACGATGCCCAATGTGTGTCGGCTGTAATCAATTAAATAATTAAGTAATTTCTTTATATATAAAAAAAAATTTAGATAATTATTTTTATTTTATGTGCCTAATAGAAAAATGAAGGATTAATTTGAGTGTTTAAAGGTGAGATAACTTGGAGGATAAGAAATAATGTGTCTGCTGTCTTCTTTGTTTTACAAACATAACAGACCCGGCAATGGCATCTTCCTTCTGTTGGTACTCTCAAAGGTTTTGTTCTTTTTGGTGTTTAATGGCAATTTTTTATTCCTAAATTATGCGGTTGTGATATATTGAGGTATGTACTATCAATCTAATCAAATTTATCCTTGAATTATTATGTTTTGAACAAATATATTGTTCCTTCGTTTGATTTGACCGTTATTATTATTAACCGAAAATCATTTTTAAAAAAATCAATTTTT